TTCGATGTGCACCACGCCCTGCCCCACACGGCCAACACGCTGATCGGAAGAGCTGCCCACATTGCGGTATGAAAAAGTCTTCGTTAAAAATTACTCTATCTATTTAGAATTCTGTATCGCCTAGGTGCTGGACTCGGAGCTGTTCATCGAAAAATTTATGTTGATTGCGGGCCTGAAGTACTTCAGTTAACATGGCTAATGCGAAACCGGGCTAGATTAATCAACAGGACAAATGTTGGTGACTTTTGAACAGCCTCTATAAAGTACTCGTATTTTAATGTTATTTAATATGTATTACTAGGTTCGATTCAGTTCGAAACACACACACACAGGGTACAATACTCTTTTACTACTTTATCCAAGCAAGAACAAGTTTCTTCAGCCAACAAATTTCAGCTGCAGTTCAGTTGGAATAAGGAATTTATTGAAGCAAATTGTTAGACTTGAAATTTTTTACCAAAGCGAATCTTTTGTAGAGCATTGATTACTAAATAGTAAAAACACACACACGAAAGGAATCATCAATTAATCAAAAGGAATATTGAACGTTTAATCAAAAACTATAACCAAAGCGGCATAACTGTTGAAAACGTGTTATCGATAATTATCGATTAATTATAATTACATTTTTATAGATAATAGAGTTGAAAACTTGATGCACACAAAAGCAAAACGGAAGCCAAAGACATCCATCATAAGTAGCATAGAACTAAGTTAAAAACTATTTACGAGACTTTACGAAACGGTTGAATTGGAAAAGTGGAATTAAAACTGAAGAGATCATGTTAAGTATACGTAACTAACGGTAGCTGAGCACACGATAACAAGGTTGCATTTCGATAAATATGTATTAGCAATTGTGAGACTTATTAAACACACAAGAACAAGTGGTTTTTTCCAAATCTTTGTACTGCTAAAAAGCAACTATGGTAGAGAGAATTAGAGAGTAGCGTTAATAGACATTTTTAGAGTTGAGTAGAGCTAATGCATTTCTGGAGCGTGCGTCAATTAAGCTGGATATTATTGTAGGGAACGTGTGCAAGCGTCTTGTGGGCATTTGTTTAGCTCAAATATGAATTTGTTATTGGGAACAACAAAAATGTTAGTAAATGAATCGACATGTAGAGGAGAGCAGTTAGGTCAACTTGAAAATTTTGTAGTCTAGTCGTAGCCATTTGTCTACATACATACATAGTTATGTGTTTTCTGAGCTTTTTCAAATTGTTGTTGTGAACCATTTAGCTTACCAGTTCGACTTTTCTTGTATAACACTTTTTGAAATCTACCCGTTATGCCTATACATACCAGAAGTTGCATTCTATGTGTATAACCGTCCTAAATCTTAAGCAATGTACATCAGCTTGCCAACAAATTGATTTTAAATACATGTTTTATGCGTAGCACTTAAGAATTTCGCGAGCTGTTTCCTTAGGCACTTCGATTTTTACTAAATGTATCCAAACATATTGTGCCCTCAGATGCGACTTAAGTGTTTTTCATTTCAATAAAATACACTAAAATTTAATTTTAGTAAAATTCTAGTTATCTACTGAATTTATTACTCAAAATAATGCATTTCTGAAAACTTGATTTCGTCAATATATCAATAATTCATTTAAAATAGGTACAAATGTATTAAGTTAGGCAATAGCTTGAAAATGTCCCTAATTATGGATTATGTCTACTTGTATGTATGAATGTATGTATGTATGTATGTATGTATGTATGTATGTATGTATGTATGTATGTATGTATGTATGTTTGTATGTATGTATGTGTATGTATGTATGTGTACGTATGCATGAATGTTTTATTTATCTTAACACAGTCCAAGTTTCATATCACTGCGCTACGACTTTAAATTAAATGAATTTTTAAGCGCTCTCCTCCTCGATTCTCAAAAATTTAAGTAGGCTTTGCTAAAATTGAACAAGGCAGTCAGTTGGCTCCAGCGGCCGGTGGAGGAGCAACCCCAGGAGGCGGTGGACCAGGAGGCGGTGGCCAGGAGGAGGTGGGGCGGGTAAGTAGATATGTATGTAGATGTATGTATGTATGTAGATGTATGTAGATGTATGTATGTATGTAGATGTATGTAGATGTATGTATGTATGTAGATGTATGTATGTATGTACGTATGTATGTATGTATGTACGTATGTATGTATGTATGTATGTATGTATGTATGTATGTATGTATGTATGTATGTATGTATGTATGTATGTATGTATGTAAGTACATATGAGTGTATATATTTATGCATAAATATATGTACACGTATACGTACAGAACTCTATTTGTTCATATGTATGCCAAGTTTACATCCAGCTGCGCTGCTAATGCAAATAGAATGACAAGCTATATTGGCACCGTTTTTAAAATTGCCACCAAACTATTCGATGTCGAAACTTAGAGTTTCGATAATGCAAGTATTTTAGAAAAGTATCGTTAACAAACATCGATACACTTATGCGATAAGTCTGGTATCAGCTGTTTCTCTGCAATCGAGTGGCTGCTTCGACAGTAAATAAAATCTTCGCCCAAAATCGAGTCGGACAGTTGTAAAAAATACATTATAGCAATCAAAATTGTGTAAAAGCCACGCCCAACGATGGCGAACCGTGCGCCCATGCTGCGAATCGGGCAGCAAGATCTAAAGTGCCGACAGGGCTGCGGCTTCTACGGCAACACACAGTTCGATGGACTCTGCTCGAAATGTTTCCGCGAGCGCAACGATAAGCAGCGGAAAAAGCGTAAGCAAGCTGCTGTGATTTATCTATTCGTAGCACTTAGTCATATTTGTAATTCCTATTGACCACAGAGAGAGCCAGCGAGGATCATGAAGCGTTGAACACTGGCGCCAGTTCCGCTGGCGGAACCATGGAGCGCAAGTCGCCACAGCATTCGCTCTCGCTGGGCCGTGCTAAACCAAAGAAGCAGCCAGAGAAGGAGCAACCACACAGCGAGACACCAACAGCCAGCAGCACAATGCCTAGGAAGAAGTTCACTGTGCCCGCTGTGCTGCAAAAGACATTGAAAAATAAATTGGCAGTCCCGCAACAGCCACGAGTGCCAAGTGCCACCGAGAAGCAGTTTATGCTGCAGCTGCGTCAGCTGCGTATACCGGACGATGCTAAGCGGAAGCTGAAAAGCGAGATCCAGCGACTGGACCACGAGATACGCAAATACATGAACAACAACAGTACCAAGAATGTGGATGAACTGTCCGATCTTGTGCAGAATGCCTACACCAGAGTAGCGGATATTGTACACAACGATCAACGCTTCGAGATTGCCACCAACGAGGATCGCGATAGTGCCATAGACTTCTTCGAGAAAGTTGTGATGACACAGAATCACAAGTGAGTCATCATCTGTTCAATGCCACGACCATCTCTCATCTTATCTTTGCATGTAGTCTCCTATTTAGTCCGTACTTTACCACAGACGAGGAGAGCGATATAAAGGTCCAAAAGCGCATACGACAATTGAGCTGGATAACGGCCAAGCATCTAGACTGCAGCATTGACGAGGTCAATGCGGAGGCGCGTGATTTGGTCTACAATGCCATATCGGAACTGGTAGGGATCGACTCCTATTATTCGCCGCAGGAGAAGCTGCTCTGCACGGTGCGCTGCTGTCGTCACATTTTCGAGCTGTTGAAACGCTCCACGGGCGGACCAGCCAGTGCAGATGACTTCTTGCCGGCCCTTATCTTTGTGGTCCTCAAAGCGAATCCCGTCCGGCTGCACAGCAACCTGAACTTTGTCAATCGTTTCACAAACGCCTCGCGTGTCATGAGCGGCGAGGGTGGCTACTATTTCACCAATCTCTGCTCGGCCATTGCCTTCATTGAGAATCTAAATGGTGAGAGCCTGAGCATTGGCGCCGAGGAGTTCGATGCTTTAATGTCCGGCGAACAGACTTACAGCACACCCTGGGAGAGCGCGCTGTTGGCCTGCGAGAGCCTGCATCTAATATCTGAGAATATGAAATGCATGGAACAGCTACAGAAACGTAACTCGGTTATAAGCACGGGTATTAAAGACTTTGAGCGCGAGCTCATTGAGTTCCAGCGCGAGGTGACCGAGAAGGTGGACACGGTAATGGCCAAAGCGCCGCTAACGCTGCTGCCCATTAAAACGCCGCCGTTTCTCATAAGTCAGGCGCGCGCCCACTTGGCACTGGATGGCGTAGAAGCGGCTGCTGGCCACTACCAAACAAATCTAATCAGTGGTGGGCGAGGTCAGCACCAATTGTCAGCTAAAGTCAAGGGAAGGGAACTCGCTACGCACGAGGATTCACACTTGGAAGCGGCGCATACCCTGGCACTCAAGGACACCAGTATTGGCTCTGTGGGACGCCTGTCACCGTTGCATCAGAATCTGCCGCAACCGGATCAGCTCTTTGCCTCGCCCATATTCAATTACACACCCTTTGATGCAGTCTCGCTGCTGGAGGAATCATCCGAAAATGGAGACGTGTTGATGCTAGGCTCGGAATTTCAGGGTGGATTGACAAACATCAACTACGACTTCGATTTGTCCGACCAAAGCGGCGAAAACAGTGTCGCAGATGAGTCCAAATTAAATCTTGATGAATTTGATCCGCTTGTGCAGCAGCGACAGCAGATCGCAAATACCGTTCCGAGCAGCGCGGCTGAGCTCAGCCTGCTGGACACCACAACGGACAGTTTAATAGACTGCGATGTGCCGCTCGCAGGTGTACTCTTGCCATCCCCCCTTAAGCCGGAGGTGGCCAACTATCGTGGGTTCTCCAATTTTGATATTCCAAGCATTTCCTGCAACACTGGGGACTTCAGTTCGCTCAACCAGGACGTGAACGATCCTGCAGTGCCAGCTCCAAGCAACAAATAAATGTACTCGCCGCTCGTGCCCACTTGTAAATAGCTTTTGATTTATTATTATTTATTTAAGGAATTTATTTAATAAACTTAACACTATTGACGATTTATACATATCAGCAGGATGACATTCGCGGGATCAATTGGCAAATATGGAGCCTGCGACACTGACAACGATCTTGCTCTTCTCATTTTTGGTTAGGATCTCGTAGTGATAGCTCCCTTCGATCAACGCATCATTTTTGCCGGCTTCGAAGGTGGACATTATTGGCGCCAGATCAACATTAAAGCAGTTGATCATAAAGGTGTCATTCTTGAGCAAATCGCACATCTCATAGGCGCTGGCGATCTTCTCATGCCAGATGCTAACCGAGCCGTAGGCGAGCGTCTCCTGCAAAATAGCCTGGATAGCATCTTTGGGTGTGCGGAATGTGTGCATCGTGATGATGCCCGTTGGTCCGTCGCCCAAAAATTTATGGGATATGTCACAGACCAGCATGGGCGTGGTATGTGCTGGCACCGTCTTTGGATTGCCGACAATTGTTTCCGACCTGAGCTGTTGCAGCTTGGCCCGTGACCGCACATAATTGGGATGATTATAAATTTGCGGTTCGAGCGGCTTCAATTGCTCCACCAAAAGCTTGATAACAGGCTCACGCACGCTCTCCTGGATGAACAGTGTGGCCACCGCATGCTCCGCGAATGGATTTTGCAGGGAGGCCAGAAGATGATCCATGGCCTTGTTAAGATCGCCACCATCGAAGAGTACCATAAGACTGGGCGAATTCCAATCGGATTCCAGCTCCTGCTGGGTCGCCTCCAGCTTCTCCGTCGTCTTCGGCTCGCCAGCACCCATCACCTTTCGCTTTTTGGAACGCTGATCCTCTCCAGGATTTTCGGGCATGACGCAGAATGCGGAAGATTTGTATAAGAAATTTGTATCGATACGCAGTCGATAAATTCTCCCAATCAGAATTTGAAAACTATCGTTTATAAACATCGATACTTTAGGCGTCGTTTGATGAATTAGTTCTAACTCGAATTACTTTTGTTTGAATACTCAAAGCGAGCAGACGTCGCTCCGCTTAGCAAAATGAATACTGGTACCTTTCTACTTGTTGCTGCCGCTGCGATTAGCTTGGCCGCCGCTTCTAGCATACCGGCGGCCGGTGAAGTGCCGCACAATCCGCTGGAGCACGATTCGCTGCATGCCAAGCATTTCGATGGAGGCGAGCACAATACCCAGTTTGACCACGAAGCCTTTTTGGGCGCTGACGAGGCCAAGAAGTACGATGAACTCTCGCCGGAGGAGAGCAAGCGACGCCTCGGCCTGATTGTGGATCGCATTGATGAAGATAAAGATGGTTTCATAACGCTGGCTGAGCTCAAAGCCTGGATCCAGTACACGCAGCGTCGCTACATTGACGAAGATGTGGGTCGGCTGTGGCGTCAGCACAATCCGGATAACGAGACAACCATTAGCTGGGAAACGTATCGCAACTCTATTTATGGTTTTATGGATGCACTGGATAAGGAGGAACTGGAGCAGGAGGAGCATGGTAAGCCCATAGACGCTGATTTAATGATTCCCGAAAGTAATAAGAATCCTTGGCAGGTATCTCTTACAAGAGCATGCTGAAACGTGATCGCCGTCGGTGGGCTGTGGCCGATCAGGATCTGGACGATAAATTGACGCGCGAGGAGTTTACAGCCTTCTTGCATCCTGAGGAACATCCGACCATGCGTGATGTAGTACTGCAGGAGACCACCGAGGACTTGGACAAGGACAAGGATGGCAAAATTTCCGTTGACGAATACATTGGTGACATGTACCGCCCCTCGGAGCCCAATGAGGATGAGCCCGAATGGGTGCTCAGCGAACGCGAAGCATTTTCCAAGCATCGCGACCTGGACCAAGATGGTTACCTAACCGAGGCGGAAATACGCCAATGGATTGTGCCGAATGACTTTGATCACGCCGAGAGCGAGGCCAAGCATTTGATATTCGAGGCTGACGAGGATAACGATGAGAAGCTAACCAAAGCCGAAGTGCTCGACAAATACGACGTGTTCGTAGGCTCCCAAGTCACCGACTTTGGCGAGGCACTGGCACGCCATGACGAGTTCTAAGATCGAAGAGAGAGATTAACCACAAGTCTCTAGCTTATAAGTTAACTAACTCCCAACTTGAATGCCAAATACCTTGTAATACATTTAGCCATGTAAGACCAACTCTGCAAGTGCATTATAACAGACTTAACGCTATAGAATAACCCCCACCCGGTTCCATCCTGTTCAATTGGTTTGATTTCAGCTTTAATTGATATGCATCCCAAAACATACACGTCAGCCAGACGCACAACGGCCTCTCGACGATTGGTCCGGTCCATGGGGTTGCGCGTGCATAATTTCTCTCTTGTTCATATGGACACGTCATGGGCAGACAACCGGCCACAGATACACACTCACACACACACACTCACTCGCTGTACACACATGTTAGGCGCGTCCGCCTCCATATAACATAAACATAAAACGCTTTTGTTGTTGCTGCCGCTGTGCCCGATTAATTTCCAGCTGCGAGAACATTCCAACAAAAACAAATCTCCGACGACCCCGCGCTGGACGCTGATTTCATTCTTTTCATTTCTGTCGGTTTTCAATTTGTATTATATATTTTTTCGCTGTGATAAGCGTTTTGTCAACGTTGAAATTGAAAACCAAAGCAGACAGGTCGCTGAAAATTGCTAATGCCCATATATACATACATGAATATGTATATATAAGTATATATATATAAATATGTGTACATATAGGGCACATATGGCTAGCCATTGCGGGTACTCAAGAGATCGTGTGTATTGAAATTTGTTGTATGCTTTATTTGACTTCCATTGACACATTTATGTATATGTATGTTTATAATTTGATGCGTTTTTGAATATTTAAAATACAAAGTATTCAAAATGTTTCAAATATTTTGTTTTCTGCGTTTTCTTTGTGTATTTTAAATCAGTACATGTACATAGTATACGAAGGACATTATCTTATTATTATGTATGGTAGCTCCTGGTTTTTCTTCTTTATTTTTTTTTTTAGCAATTAAAAACGTTCTTAATTTTCATTTAGTTTCCACAATCTGGAAATCTGGTGCTGTTTGATGCCGTTAGGAAGCGCATCTCATACATGAATCTGTTCTTGATTTTTATTTAATATACGTTTATGTATTTGTTTAGCTGCAATTCTGCCTAATTCTTTGCCTTTGCCTAGCTTCCTTTGATACTTGGCAACAGTTTTTCAATCAACATCTAAATACAATGTGTGTGTGTCTGTGTGTGTGAGTGTGTTTTATAATGTATTGTTTGTTTTTTGTTGTCTTGCATTGTGCAGTGGAACGTTTACTGGCTGCTGCACTGCATCATCTTTCAACTTTCGACTACTTTACGAGGCCAAACATTTCTTTATGCTCAGCTCTTTACAATACAAATTTCACTCTATTTAGTTTTTTTTTTTTCGTTTTGTTTTTTGGTTTTACAACATTAATTTTAATTAACTTTTAGTTCAAATTAATGCACATGTTTGAAATTAGTTCAAATCGAAAGCATAAACAAACAAAAAACACACGAAACGAAACGACTTAGTTGAACAATTAAGGACGTCTAACAGAACAAGAAAAGTTAGTAGAAAATTCGGTTTTTCCCCCTGTTTTAAAGTGGGCAAGTTTCAACAAAGCAGAAAATACATCGTGTGGCAGGCTGACCAGGTCCGGAGTATGCCGGAAGCTGGACTCCTCTCGAGTCAACTCGCTAGTTGCTGCTGCTTATGTTACATAATTGTTATTAGTTAATAATATTACGTTATTAAATAGACTTGACGACAAATACAAATACAATGCTTCGTGGGTGTTCTTGTTGCGTGTGTGTGTGTGTGTGTGTGTGTGTGTGTGTTGGTGTGTGTCTGTGTGTGAGTGTACTGTGTGTGTGTGTGTTTGTGCATCTTAAAATTAGAGCAGAGCGCATTTGCGCTTGGATTTGGGCTGCAGAACGGGACAGAGCACCGATCTAATAGCCTCATCGAAGACGGTCTTTAGACCCTTTTGCGTTAGCGCCGAGCACTCCAAATATTTGACAGCGCCAATCTCCTTGGCCATGGCCAGACCCTGTGGGTATGTGATCGGCGCCAGTTTCTTGTCGCGCAGTTTCTCAATCGTGTTCTTATCGTCGCGCAAATCCAGCTTGGTGCCCACCAAAATGATGGGCGTGCTGGGGCAATGATGGCGCACCTCCGGATACCATTTGGCTCGCACGTTCTCAAACGAGGCCGGATTGACCAGCGAGAAGCAAATGAGAAAGACATCGGTCTGTGGATACGATAATGGACGCAAACGATCATAATCCTCCTGACCGGCCGTATCCCACAGCCCCAAATTGATGGGCTTCGCATCGACCATCACATTCGCGGAGTAATTGTCAAATACGGTGGGTATATATTCGCCGGGAAACGCATTTGTCGTGTAGCTGATGAGCAGGCATGTCTTACCCACAGCACCGTCACCCACGACGACACACTTAATCGCCTGCATATTTGTTGCGTTTGCTGCTGCTGTTGTTGCTTTGTGTGATTGTGCGGCTGTTGCAGTTGTTGTTGTTGTTGTCTTGGTTAGGGTGGTGGTGTTGTTGCTGCCGTTGGGCGAGGGCTGGGTCTGTTGCTGCTGCTGCTGCTGTCGACGCTGTGGCTCTTGGTCGGCTCCTTTAAACGGCGACTCGGCCTGCAATCTGAACTAGTTTTATGGCTAGCGAGCTGTCCAGGAGTCGCGGTTTGGGTCGCTTTTGTTCTTATTGCGTTAACAAAGCGCGTTTTGTGCGTTTTTTCAGCAAAAAATAATTTTCTGTGTACCGAGATACCGTATCGATATAATAACCCATCGATAGCTTGATGGTAACTAAAAAAAACTATCTATCGCTGTTATCGATGTCTATTTATTGAGCTGTCAATATCGATAGTTTTGACTTTATTTCAAATACATAAAGGCATTCCATTATTTGATTTTAATTAAAAGACACTTATCTTAAAAACTATAGTAATTATTGTGCTGCGTATAAACAAGCTTTTCAAAACAAAGCAAATTCATTGGTAAATAGTACGATCTGTTTAATACATGTAAGCAATATTGAACTTATTATTGTTATTATTTTTAGATAGAATTATACGAAGCAGTCCACGCGTCTGAGATTAATAATAAATAGAAAATTGATAAAACGGCTAAGAACCGATAAGTTATTGTAATCAAAAACAAACATTTTAGAAATAGCTATCGAGTATCAATATATTGAAGGTGTGCTAGCAACATAAAATCGCCGCGGCGAATACCATTGTGAACTACCTGCTTGCCGCGGCGAATCATTTGTTTCAGCGCGCCCTCGACGCACAGTTGCTGCCAAGTGCAATAATTATTGCTAATTTATCACTTAAAGTATAAACACTTGCTAAAAATATTATTAGCCAGCCATGTCTGACGTGTTCATTGTGTCTGCGGCGCGAACGCCCATTGGTAAACAGAGCGCAGTTTCAGAAAAAGCTGATGTAATTCCTAAACATTTGTGAAACTTTCTCTTTTTGGCATATTTAGGCAGCTTCAATGGAACACTTTCTAAACTGAAGGCATCCGATCTGGGCAGCGTGGTCATCCAGGAGGTGCTGAAGCGTGCCAATGTCGAGGCGCCGCAAGTCAACGAAGTTATCATGGGCCAGGTACAAACCCAAATTTGCCAATTGTTGCTTATCAGCGAGGCAATTGTTTAAGTGAATTTTTTATCGCATACAATTTGCTTAAATTTGTTATGTAAATGGCTTGAACTGAATTGTGCTCGTCAACAGGCACTGACGGCAGGTCAAGGTCAGAATCCCGCACGCCAGGCCGCGCTCAAAGCCGGTCTGCCCATCGAGGTGCCCGCCTATGGCATCAATATGCTCTGCGGCTCGGGTCTGAAGTGGGTATATCAGCACGTAGCTTGACTTGGATGCACTTACAACATCTGACTGCATTTTCCAGAACCGTGGCATTGGGCTACCAGGCGATACGTACGGGCGATGCACAGATCGTTATTGCTGGCGGCCAGGAGAGCATGTCCCTGGCGCCGCACGTCATGCATCTACGCCAGGGCGTTAAAATGGGCGCTGGCACGCTGCTGGACTCTATGCTCAACGATGGCTTGACCGATGCCATGGAAAACATACACATGGGCATCACAGCCGAGAATCTGGCGGAGAAGTATCAAATAAGCCGCGAGGCCCAGGATGCCTATGCGGTGCAGTCGCAGCAGCGCGCCGAACTGGCACAGCAGCAGGGCTACTTTGACGCTGAGATTGTGCCCGTCGAGATCAAGGATCGCAAGGGCACGCAGCTGTTTAGCAAAGATGAGTACATCAAAAGCGGCAGCAATGTGGAGGGCTTGCAAAAGTTGCGTGCCGCCTTCAAGGAGGGCGGCACCATCACACCTGGCAATGCATCCGGCATTAACGATTCGGCTGCAGCCCTTCTGCTCATGTCCGGCGAGGAGCTTAACAAGCGCGGCCTCAAGCCACTGGCCAAAATTGTCGGCTGGTCACAGACCGGCATTGAGCCCAAAGTCATGGGCCTGGGTCCAGTAACCGCTGTCGAAGCACTGGTAAGCATTTGCTCTTTAGCTGTTCCTTCTGTCCATTTTAATCTGTGCACTTGCAGCTGACCAAAATCGGTTGGAGCCGCGATGAAGTGGACCTCTACGAGCTGAACGAAGCATTTGCCGCTCAGTCGCTCGCCGTGCTGCAGTGCCTGCAGCTGGATGCCAGCAAAGTGAATGTGCATGGCGGCGCCATAGCACTGGGCCATCCCATTGGCGCCTCGGGCGCACGTGTCCTGGTCACACTGCTCTACGCCCTGGAGCGCACGGGCGGACGTCGCGGCATTGCCTCCCTATGCATCGGCGGCGGCATGGGCATTGCTCTGGCCGTTGAGCGCATCATCTAAATTAGTCAATAGTCAATAGATTCAATAGAATCAATGGGCTCTACCTAATTATTATAGCATTGAATTGCTTCCGTTATTACCCTTTGCTGCATAATCACAATATGTATTGTTATATTATTTCCTTTGGTATTATGCTTGGTCACAAATCTTACTGTAGTCTGAAACTTTGATTGTATTTATATCTATAAATCTTAAATGCTAAATTGCATGGCGACAGCTTTAATACTGCCCGATTTCGATGGGTATATATAAATCGAAAACTGTGGGTCTTACTTTTGTGGAATTTCCTATGGAAAAACAGGACAGCATTATCTTTTAGTACTATATTTTCCGTAAAAGCCAAATGTACCTTTTTATCAAGAACTCAACTGAAAATCGTTCCTATATATGATCTATCATATATGTATTCCAATCTCTATAACTTACCTGCCAGCATCAAAAATCAAGCAAGAATTCCTCCCAAAAAAAAACGGATCATTTAGAAACTGGAGATTATTTTATTTTAATTGTCAACTTTAGATAAATTTGCTAAGAACCCTTAGCTCAAAAAATAGTTGATTATAAGGGAAAAATTTATTTATATAATGTATATAAATACATTTGGATTAACAGAGAAAATACTATTAAAAAAGTTGAAGCTAGAAAACGTTTATTAAAAGTAGTATGCATTGACCTATTTGTCTCGATCGGGTCTTAAAAATATATATATATATATATATGTCGATATATGTAACCCTTCCGCTGCTTAAGCATTTGTACGTTTATAAATGTTGTAGGCAGATGGTTGCTTATAGTTAGAATTAGTATGCGAACATTTGAATACTCTACAAAATACTTGAGATGTTGACTAAGTAAAGGCTAGCCTGAGTTAATATTGTATGGAATATTGTTAGTTGTCTAGCTGAATGTAAACCTCTATGACTTTGTTTATTGCTTTAATTTATTTCGATTATAATTTTTATCTCTACAATTTGCTTGCAGTTCAATTTTGGATGCAGCCGCCTACGGCTCAATTTAAAGATTGTGCTTCAAGTACTTTTCTTTCAAGTGGGCAGGGGATCTTATCAGACGCCGCCGCCATGCCAGCAGGTCGTGAGGTTGCTGCACTCGAGCTGTTTGGGCAGCGCCGGATAGAAGCCGTTGACATTGTTGCATACGAGACGTTCGGTGGGTGCCGTTTGGGCCATCTGCTCCATGGAGGACACACAGATTTGTGCATAATTGGCTATGAAGCCGGACCATAGCGTGGGCGTGTTGCCGCTGATGAAATACGAGTCCCAGAACTTTGAGGCCAGCACCGCCCGGTAGGGATAGTCCGTTTGCTCCAGCAGAAACAGCTCCTCGGCAATGGCCACTGTGTCAAAGTCGCGATGCTTCACGGGCGTATAGATATCCTGTATGATGTTGTCACCAAAATAAAGCGCACGTGCTGCGCTTATGTCTTTGTTCAACTGCTTGGCCATCGACTGATGCAGCTGATGCCAGTTGCCCTGCGAGTAGACATCGCCCGGTTTGAGCTCTGCCTGCAGACTCAACTCCGTGGCGGGCAGCTCACACTTGGCCACGTCATCCACACGCATGAAGGGGCGCTGCATTGTAAAGAAGCCCGGCTTCTTGGCATAGGTCACTATGTAGTCGAACTGCTGCTGCCAATCCGGACCCAGAGCCTGGGTGGCCGTCAGATCGGCAAAGTCTATGTTCGAACCGGTCAGCAGAAACACCTTTTTACCCGTGGCGCGCAATTGCTGGAGCCAGGTGCGCAGCTTCGAGCTGCTGGGCAGCACATAGCGATGCGGCTCAGCGCGCATGGCCTTGAAGTAGAGACTCTGATCGTTTTTGAAGTTGTCGCGGCTGTAGTTGTGCATAAGACCGTCGAGCAGATCACGCCAAACGTTGTACTCCTTGGGCCTGCCGTTTGGACCGCTGTCCTTGTCCACGATATCCACGGCTTGGGCAAATACCAGCGCGCTGGGCATGTCAAAGTAATCGAGGAGCGTGCGCATCTGCGTAGCGGCTGGACCATTCCACGTCGAAAGTGGATCATTGTAGAAGGCCGTGGCTACGTCCCAGCGTCGAGCGGCACCGTAGGCAGCCACAATCTCATCATCGCTCAGCAGACGCGTGCCATGTGAGGCACGCAAAATGACAGCCTCATTGCTCAACTTCAGCACATTGCCGCGCGGTCCATCTAGCATGAGACCCTTCTGCAGGAAATCCATGTCCAACTTTTTGGTCAGCAGCGCCGGCGAGTAGCCTTTCTGCTCCACCAAATACACTTTCAGAACATTATAGATGAGCGGCGTCATCTCCTGCAGATTGTAGCGCAAAAGCGTGCCATCCAGATCAAACCCAACGATATCATAGCCCATCAGATCCAGCTCCTTGCAGTATGAGTTCATGATTGTGCTGGCCGAGTATCTCGAATACTGCGCAGCACTGACAGCTCGTCCGCTCGTGTGTATGCTTGGGTGCGTGTGTGTGTGCCTGCACAGCTGTTTGTTGTTGTCGGCCGCACGTGTTGACTTCGGCGCCAATTGTGCTTTACTAACACAGCTCTTACGTAATCGGCACAGAACATCTGTTTGCCCCTGTTTGTGTACTTTTAGTTGGAGTCTACTTACTGCTGTTGCTGTTGCTATTGTTGCTGTGGCGCGCACATTGGGCGCTAGTTGCCGCACGCCCACTCGCCAAATGGCACTTTGCATTTTGGCTCTAATACATTATCGCTTTAAATTTTAACCAAATATTTTGTTATTTTCCTACATAATTTTGTCCATAAACAATGCCACCTCAAATCAATCGATGGCATATTCTAGATTCGAGTAAAACTATTCGATATTCACTTCAACTATATATCGCATGCTATCGCTGCAGCAACTCTGGGTATCGATATGTTGTTGGTCTCAATGTTTTTTTTTAGCAAGCGTACCGCGTTCGGAAAATAATTTGTGATTTTTGTGTAATAAAACGCCGTAAACTCATCAACTGTTTGGCCTTTGAGCCACGCTTACTGCAATCATGTCCACTTGCATCGAAATTCCGCTGCAGGACACAGATGAGGTAGGTTTAACAGCCTGTAGCTTTAGGGTAAACGCGGCGTTTGCTAAAAAAAATAAATGCTTACAGGTCATCGAAGTGGACCCGGATCAACTGCCCGAATGCTCCGAGGTGTTCAGCATATTGCTGCAGGAGCGTGCGCCGTTACACGTATGGGTCAATGTGGCGGTATGTGGCAATAGTACAATACAACAGGGCTCCAAATGGGCAGTATAAATAATGCATGAATATATTTCGCAGCTGGCGTACTACAAGCAGAAAAAGACGGATGACTTCATTATGCTGCTGGAGGCAGCTCGTGAGAAGGGCACCTTGGACTATCGTGACTTTAAAACGGATCAAATGCGCGCCTTCGACATGCTGGCCGCCCACTATGTGCAGGAAGCGTATAGGGAAAAGTCCAAGGATAAAAAGCGCGAGCTGTTCATGAAGGCCACCAATCTGTACACGAATGCGGACAAGATCATCATGTACGATCAAAGCCATTTGCTGGGACGTGCCTACTTCTGCCTGCTGGAAGGCGATAAAATGGATCAGGCAGATGCGCAGTTCAACTTCGTGCTCAATCAATCTCCATCAAATATACCATCGCTGCTGGGCAAGGCGTGCATTGCCTTCAATCGCAAGGATTACCGCGGTGCCATGGCCTTCTACAAGAAAGCACTACGCACGAACCCCAATTGTCCAGCCAATGTGCGCATTGGCATGGCGCACTGCTTTCTAAAAATGGGCAATGCAGAGAAGGCAAAATTGGCATTCGAGCGTGCCCTGCAGCTGGACCAGCAATGCGTGGGCGCCCTAATTGGCCTGGCTGTGCTTAAACTAAATCAACTAGAGCCGGAATCTAACAAGCTGGGCGTGCAAATGCTTTCCAAGGCCTACACCATCGACAATGCAAATCCTATGGTCTTAAATCATTTGGCCAATCACTTCTTTTTCAAAAAGGACTACCAGAAGGTGCACCATCTGGCGCTCCACGCCTTCCACAATACCGAAAACGAGGCGATGCGCGCCGAGAGCTGTTACCAGCTGGCAAGAAGCTTTCATGCACAGAGCGACTATGATCAGGCCTTCCAATACTACTATCAGTCCACACAGATTGCGCCAGCTAACTTTGTGCTGCCCCACTACGGACTCGGACAGATGTACATCTATCGCGGAGATACGGAAAACGTAAATGTCACAACAGAAAAAACTATTAATTATGCAAATCTAAATTTCTATATTATATATTTACAGGCGGCGCAGTGCTTTGAGAAAGTGCTTAAAATTCAGCCAGGCAACTACGAGACCATGAAAATCCTCGGCTCTCTGTATGCGCACTCCAATTCGCAGACCAAGCGCGACATGGCCAAGACACACCTTAAAAAGGTCACCGAACAGTTTCCCGAGGACATAGAAGCCTGGATCGAGTTGGCGCAGATACTGGAGCAAAATGATTTGCAAGCCTCGCTGAATGCCTATGGCACTGCCTCGAGCATTTTGCGTGACAAGGCCAAATACGAAATTCCAGCGGAGATACAAAACAACGTCGCCTCACTTCATTATCGTCTGGGCAATCTGAAACTGGCCAAGGACACGCTGGAGTCGGCACTGCAGCATGCCAGCTCCGAGATGGACAAGGACGTGAAGTATTACGAGTCCATACAGGTGACCATGAAATATAATCTGGCTCGCCTCAATGAGGCCATGAGCAGCTTTGATGTGGCCGATAAGCTGTACAAGGAGATACTCAAGGAGCATCCCAACTATATTGATTGCTATCTGCGACTAGGCTGCATGGCGCGTGATAAGGGTCTGATCTTTGTCGCATCCGATTTCTTCAAGGATGCACTCAATATAAACAATGACAATCCGGATGCTAGATCGCTGCTTGGCAATTTGCATTTGGCCAAAATGCAATTCGCGCTGGGCCAAAAGAACTTTGAGACAATACTTAAGAATCCGGCTACGGCCTCGGATGCCTATTCGCTGATAGCGTTGGGCAATTTCTCGCTGCAGACACTGCATCAGCCCAGTCGGGACAAGGAGAAGGAGCGCAAGCATCAGGAAAAAGCGCTGGCTATTTTCAAGCAGGTAAAGGAAGGCGTTATTAACCCCTCAGAACCTTCAACTTATTCGAAAACTCTTTTGTCAGGTGTTGCGCACAGATCCACGCAATATTTGGGCCACCAATGGCATCGGCGCCGTGCTCGCCCACAAGGGCTGTGTCATCGAGGCACGCGACATATTTGCCCAGGTGCGCGAGGCCACCGCCGACTTTTGCGATGTGTGGCTAAACATTGCCCACGTCTACGTCGAGCAGAAGCAGTACATCAGCGCCATACAGATGTACGAGAATTGCATGAAAAAGTTCTACAAGCACAACAATGTCGAGGTGATGCAGTACCTCGCACGAGCCTATCTGCGGGCCAATAAGCTGGTGGAGGCCAAGGCTGTACTGCTCAAAGCGCGTCGTGTCGCGCCCCAGGACACCGTACTGCTGTTCAATATAGCTGTAGTGCTATCCCGTCTGGCCATGGCCATACTCAAGGATGAGAAGTCGACACTGGAAGTGGTGCTGCAGGCGGTGCATGAACTCGAGTTGGCCCACAAGTGAGTAGCTCCAAATTTACTAATACTATGACACTATATCAAATTGCATCCCATTTAGATATTTCCAATACCTGTCTGTGCACGGAGACAAGACGCGCTTCAACATTGAGGTGGCAGGCGTGGAGGCCAACACCTGTCAGGATCTCTTGTCGCAAGCGCAATACCATGTGGGACGTGCGCGTCGCATTGATGAGGAAGATCGCACGCTGCGTCGCCGCCAAGAGGAGGAACGCGAAGCCTTCAAGCTAAAGATGCAGGAGCAGCGCAAGCGACGCGAGGAAGAGGCCAAAACGTCTCGAGATCAGCTGCTGGCCAAGCGACAGGAATACGTAGAGAAGACCAAGAATTTGCTGATCATAGCGGACGCACCAACCGAAAAAGAACGCAAGAAAGGCAGCGGACGACCGCGCAAGGATGATTACATCTCCGGCACAGATAGCGGTGATGGGGCTCCGCGCGAGGGTGCCGAACGGCCCACCAAGAAGAAGAGCAAGGCTGAGCGCAAGAAGGGCAGCGGACGCAAACGCAAGGCAGAAAAGTATGAGAGCGACAGCGAAGAGGAATCTGCTGGCGGGGGTGACAAAAAGCAGAAGAAAAAGAAACAACAGCAAAAGAACGCCAAGGAAGCCAAGGAGAAGCTGTCCGCCAAGCAGCGTCTCAAAATTGTCTCCAAGGAGACAATATCGACCAGCGAGTCCGAGAGCGATGGCAAGCGCAGTCGCAGCAGAAGCAGAAGCCGTAGCAAATCCGGCAGTCGCAGTGGCAGCCGCTCAGGCAGTGCCAGCGGCAGCGATCGCAGTCGCAGCAGAAGCCGCAAGAGCGGTAGTCGCAGTCGCAGTCGGAGCGGCAGCCGTTCCGGCAGCGCCAGTGGCAGCGATCATGGACGGAAGCGCAGCCGGAGCCGCAGTGGCAGCGAAAGCGATGGCGTTGCACAGCGCAAGCGACCCAAAAATCGCATTGAATCTGGCGGCGAATCGGATAGGTCACGATCACGTTCAGGCTCAAGATCACGTTCTCGCTCCAAGTCTGGCTCCCGTTCACGCTCGAAGTCTGCATCCCGATCGCGTTCCCGCTCAGGCACCCGCTCGAAATCCAAGTCGAAGTCCAAATCAAAATCAATGTCCCGATCACGTTCTCGCTCGCGCACCCACTCCAAGTCCAAGTCGCGCTCGCGATCTCGTCTCGGCAGCGGCTCGCGTTCGCCATCGCGCAGCCGTTCTCGATCTCGTTCCGGGTCAGCGGCTAGTAATTAAGTGCATGCCGCAGATGCAGCTCCACATTGAGCAGCTCATCAAGCTTCAACTTAAGTTAACCCTTATATGTAACTCGTGCAGAATGCAAAATATGAAATGTGTTGGAACAATATAAGCTGAGGACTTCTTTTATACCATTTTTTTTTTTATTAAGTCAACTAATGTAAATAGATTTACTAGAGCATTCGATGCTTTATTACCACTATTACCATCTGGCCTAAAATTCCATTTTGTCCATTGTATAACTTTCCATTCTACCAAAAACTAAACGTGGTCTACAAATATTCGCTTAAAAGATTAAGATTAGGCAACAATTGGCTAAATGCGCCCACTTGGATGTGGGATTCAATGCAGATTCTGCTGTATCATTTTGCTAACAATGCTTGCCATGGGCTTGGAATGTCGCAAGACGAATGCGTGAGCGATGCCTTTGCTGTCCAGCTGTGCGTCCACTTGGGGAAAATCCAATTTCAGCTGATTGTAGTAGGAGACTGGCACCCAGCCGTCTGTGGTCCCATAGTAGAACTTTAACAGATGCATATGCTCCTCGACAAGATCACGCTGCAAGCCGCGAACACGGCCCATTTCGTCGTCCGCCAGGAACACAACCTTCTCCGCCACCGATGGTTTGGTGTACTTGAGAGCGGTGCCAATATAGTGATTGGGTATGGCAAAGATCAAGAAGTATATTTGTATAAGGAAGATGCGTATCCAGACAGGCAGCCAATTGAACAGGTTAAAGAAAACGTAGCCAAAAACTGAATAAAGTGGCATGGCAACTTTGGTGAATAGCCAGCCATTCGGTGACTCCATCATGCGCTCCACGGTGGGAAATAGCATGTAGCACTTCTTGATGCGATCCCGTATCTCCTGTTCCTTGAGCAGCTGCAGTATCATCCATGCGCCAATCGAGTGCCCAATGAGATGTATTTTCACATGCTGCGGCACATACTTTTTGATAAAGTCTATTTTGTGCGCAATCTGTCCACCGAGATTGAAGAGCTCCTCGTTGCCACTGAGCTGCGGCACCTCACGTATGCTCGCCTCGGGCGGATCATCGTGTCCAGCGTGGCCTGCACATGAAGCCAGCAAATACTGTTAGCAAGCGCAATAATTGCAGATAATGCTTATATGACTCACCTATCACCCAGACGGGCAAATTTTGTCCGTCGGAGCTCAGCTCCTGTTGCAGTGCACCACCGAACTCCGTGTAAAAGCCTGGCAGTCCCGGATTGCCTGTTATGCAAATAACCACCTCCTGTACATCATTCAGCGACTCCTCGATCCATTTGCCCCACGTTATGATGTGCGTAGGTATGCCGTTTAGGTTCACAAACGCCTCCTGCATTGTGTTGGCGTGGCAGCAGCAGTTCGGTGTAAATCAATAGATTTCTACTTTCTCGCCTGTGACTCCACTTTTCAAGTTGGCCAATTTGAAGTAACCGGTTTTTTGGCGCTGCCTCACGTAACAGCCGTTAAGAGATTTGAATTTTCAATTGCGCGGCTTATCTAGTATTATCAACGTCAAACCACGTCTATGCTTTGCTTTATTCTTCTATATCAGGTATAATTGCACAAAAGGGCAGAGTTCAGTCGTCAGTCTGAGTTGCCGGTATAATTCGCTAATTTGGAAGAAGGCATGTCCACTCTCCCAAAAAAAAAAAAACACATGTACGAATGCATGTGTAAGTGGTACACACTGCAGACCTAAACTATGCAAATGCGTAATTAACATATTAAAAGTGTTAACCGTTTGGGTTAGCGTCATGCGTTATAATTAAGGTAAACTAAAAATAATCTTAATATGATCAAAATTAATTTTCCGAAGCTCTCTTTCCCATGTCTTATATGGAAGTTGCGTTTTGTTTCGATAACATTTGCATTTAGTGGGAATGGCCTTAATGATTGCAATCAGTTGGCAGCGCTGTCATTATTTGTTGGTCTCTTTTGTTGTTGTTGTTGTTGCGGTTTTGATTTGTTATAATTTGTTTTTTTTTTTATAGAACAGAAATTTCTGTCGAATGTTTAGGCTTAATTCCGGTTAGAATCATACTCAATGCGCTGTTTTCAAAAATCACAGCCACATTTACAGCAACAGCTCAGGGCGTACGCAACCCAATAAAAAGTGCTCAGGTTCGCGTCTACAAATGCATCTGTGTGCGTGTGGAGCAAGTGTGAAACCAACAATATAGATAAAATTGTATGGCCGCAGAGAATGTTTCCACTAACCTGGAGCCTTCTCGAATATTCTCTGGCCGCGTAGCGAATTGGCAAAAGTAAACACAAAGAAGGAAGGAAGAGTCGTGCTACGTATGAAACAAAAGCCACCCACAACGATAGCTACAAGTAAGAGGAAGAGGCAAGAGGTGCGGCGAAATGGAACTGTATTGCTGGGGCAACGCATCGCACGGTCAGCTGGGTCTTGGCGGCATTGAGGATGAGCAAGTAAACGGGAGCACGCAAAAATAGACGATCTTAATTGGATTAATCTCTTTGCATTGTTTGCCTTTATTTTTTTTTAGATACTGACGCCTAGCCAAATACCCTGGAAGCCGGATTCGGCAGTTAATCAAGTAGCCTGCGGCCATCGGCACACGCTTTTCCTGACAGCCAGCGGGAAGGTGTACGCATGCGGTAGCAATGATTACTCACAGCTTGGACATGAACTCCCCACCAAAAGGCCACGTATGTCGCCATTTCGTATGTACAAATCTTCCATTCTCGCTTGTACACTCGTCACTCCTCATTCCCATCACATCTCCACATGTCGCTATCTGTGCCAGTCGCACAGACGTTGCCATTGATTATTGCCGTTTACTTGCAGTACAGATACCGGAGCTCGAGGACTATGTTATCACGCAAATCGCATGCGGCAGTCGGCATTCCATGGCGCTCACCGAGTGGGGCCAGGTGCTGAGCTGGGGTGATAATGAATGCGGCCAACTTGGTCATGCCAGCGATCAGGATGTTATACAGCTACCTAAAATTGTGCGCTATCTGGTCTCCAAGACGGTGGTGCAAATTGCCTGTGGCAACAATCATAGCCTAGCTCTGACCTGCTGTAAGTCTTCCCGGTTTTGAGATTCTGCTGTATCCTAAAAGACTTGAATTTGCAGGTGGCGAACTATACTCATGGGGCTCCAACATCTATGGCCAGCTGGGTGTCAAGTCGCCCAGCGAGCTCAGCCAGTGCAACTATCCTATGCGGCTGACCACACTGCTGGGCATACCTGCGGCAGCCATTGCCTGTGGCGGCAATCACACCTTCCTCATATCCAAGTCAAGCGCGGTCTTCGGCTGGGGTCGTAACAATTGCGGCCAGCTGGGCCTGAACGATGAAACGAATCGTGCTTATCCTACGCAGCTGAAAACCCTGCGCACCCTTGGCGTTCGCTTTGTGGCCTGCGGCGATGAGTTTTCCGTTTTTCTTACCAATGAGGGTGGTGTATTCACCTGTGGTGCTGGTGCTTACGGGCAATTGGGTCATGGTTTTAGTTCCAATGAGATGCTGCCTCGCATGGTTATGGAACTGATGGGCAGCACCATTTCTCAGGTGGCCTGCGGTAATCGGCACACATTGGCGCTGGTGCCCTCGCGTGGTCGCATCTATGGCTTTGGCCTGGGCAGCTCTGGACAGTTGGGCACGCGCAACACCAAGAGCCTTAATCTGCCCCAGGTGGTGATAGGACCGTGGGTGTCGCCAAGTGGATCAGCCCTGCTGCAGTCCAGCGATGAAAAGATATCCGTTGTCATACATCAAATCTTTTCGGGTGGCGATCAATCTATAGTGACCACCTCGCTGTTTGTGGACAAAGTGCCGCCAGCCGACTGTCGCGTCTATGAGTAATATTTTGCACTCTACATTCCGCAACATCTTAAGTATTTATCCTTTTCTATTTAGACCCAAATCACAGATTCTGGTGCTGACAGCGGATGCCACCAGGCAGTGTGCGCGCTTCAAGGAGGGCGATCAAAGCGACTTGGATCTGTTGAATTCAATGGAGCTGATATTCAAGAGCCAGGCATGCCTGAATGGTTCCTTTCTGTTGGACCAGGACAAGCACTTTGGCTGCTCCGCCCGCAACTATGGCCTGGATCTGAAATCTGCCCAGCTGGCATTCGATAATCTGCGCAAAGTGGAGAACCAAAGCATCAAGCAGGTGGTAAGTGTACTATATGAAATGTTGATCCGCTTAAATCTATACCTTATGCTTTATTTTAGATCTGGGACAATTTGACGAAGGAGCTGATTGGCTCGCTTGTCGCTTCGCCGGCGGATGTTGAGAGCATGCGTATCTATTTGCTGCTACCATTATATCATGAGTTTGTCAATTCCAAACACTACAAAACACTGCACGTACCCTTTGCCAATGCCACCTTCCAGCTAACTGAGAATCCCCGCAAGGTGCTGGAGAAATGGTGGGGTCAGACGCCGTCCGATTATTTCGAACAAATGGTCAACAATTTTCTGCACGTGACGATGCACATCATCAGCTTTAAGCTGGGCATCGAGGTAATCAATCAAAATGAGCCGCGTCAGAAAAAGGTAATCGTATACAACTATTTTCTAGTCCTGTCCCATCATTTATTAATCTAAACCTATCGCGCCTATTAGCTGCTACCCTACAATAGAGATCTGGAAGCGGTGCTGCGACTGCTGGAGAATCTGTGTCGCGTCAACGACAACCGCGACGAACGGCTCAACTATCAGCTGTTCCACTGGCCAGATCTGTCGGACTATGTGGATGTTCAGCAGGAGTACCTTCGCTGGATAATGCCTGAAACGGCAGCCGAATTCAACATATGCAACTTCCCATTCCTGTTCGATGCGTCCGCCAAAACGGCGCTGCTTCAAGCGGATCAGGCGCTACAAATGCACTCGGCCATGTCAAACGCAATCTCCAATGTTCGTGACTAACTCATATACAGCTATTAATTTCCTTTAACGCTCAGCATTCAATTACAGGCATTTTATAATCTGCTCAACTATGGACACGTCTCTCAGTACATTGTTTTAAATGTTACGCGAGAGAACCTTGTGCAGGATTCGCTGCGTGAGCTGCAGCGGTATAGCCAAAGTGATCTCAAGAAGCCGCTGAAAATTAAGTTTCATGGCGAGGAGGCGGAAGATGCGGGCGGTGTGCGAAAGGAGTTCTTTATGCTGTTGCTCAAAGACCTGATCGATCCCAAGTACGGCATGTTCAAGGAATTTGAAGATTCGCGCGTCATGTGGTTTGCAGATGTCACCTTTGAGACGGAGAACATGTATTTCCTAATTGGCGTACTCTGCGGCCTGGCAATATACAATTTCACAATCATCAATCTGCCCTTTCCGTTGGCGCTGTATAAGAAATTGCTAAAGAAACCCGTCGATCTTAGCGATCTGCGCGAAATGTCGCCGACGGAGGCCAATTCGATGCAGGCACTGCTGGATTATGATGGCGATGACTTTAAGGAAACATTTGATTTGACTTTTGAGATTTCACGCGACATCTACGGCGAAGCTGAGACCCAGGAACTGAAACCCAATGGAAGCAGTATTGCTGTCACGCTAGAAAACAGGTTTTCTGCATGTAAATTACATTGTGCTTTCAATTCCTAATCATATGATGCTTTCAGGAAAGAGTTTGTGAATCTCTATGTAGATTTTATATTCAACAAATCCGTAGAGCTGCATTATCGCGCCTTTCACGAGGGTTTCATGAAAGTTTGCTCTGGCCGTGTTCTGCAGATCTTTCAACCCGAGGAGCTGATGGCTGTTGTGGTTGGCAATGAAGAATATGATTGGCAGGCGCTGGAGGACAATTGCGAATACAAGGAGGGCTACATGTCCGGTGATGAAACGGTAATTCTGTCAGCCAAGAAAATATCGTGTGAAGTGAATGTAATATTCTTTTTGTCTTAGGTTAAATGGTTTTGGGAAGTGTTCCACGAATTGTCCCTTGCGGAGAAGAAAAAGTTCCTGCTCTATTTGACGGGCAGTGATCGGATTCCCATACAAGGCATGAAGGCCATCAAGGTAAATTATTTGTTTATAGCATTACAATTATTGCCTTCTGACCGTTCTGTTTAGATCGTAATACAACCCACACCTGATGAGCGTTTCCTACCCGTTGCACACACGTGCTTCAATCTGCTAGACCTGCCACGATATAAGACCAAGGAACGACTTAAGTATAAGCTGCTGCAAGCCATACAGCAAACTCAGGGCTTTAGTCTGATCTAATCATTTCATCTAAGCGTTGTTGAGTGCAGATATTATTTTCGACAATTTCTAAAACACATTTCGCATTTGCCTTGGATTGTAAGTTAAAAAGAAAATATAAACCACAGTTTTTTTCAGGGATTAAATCAACTGGAAAATTATTGTGTTTTGTAGCTTTAGTAAAAGTTTTAAGCATATTGTTACATATAATTAAATTTGGTGAATTAACAATAAAAGTGAATAACAATAGGTGCACATGTTCAAATATCAATTAAATAGTTTAACGGGCACATTTTAAAATTTCATATATTAATGGTACCATATCGTTCAAGTGCGTTGTTTTGATCACTTTTTATTTTACCGGTGTTGCCGCCTTTAATTAAATCACTAAATAATCGATAAGCGATACACGATTAATAAGCACAAATGCACATCGCTATTGCTCAGCGCGTTTGTTGTTGTTGCCCGGTGAGCTATGCGAAATGTGGCGGCAAACGAGCGCCGCGATTCAGTTAGGTTTTAACTTTTGCAAGGTGCGTTTGCTGTCGCCGCCGGGCTTTGCTTTTAAACAAGGTATAAATAATTCAAGAACTTTTTTTGGCTGTATGTCAATCTAAATGCTAAGCGCGTGCCAAAGCTAAACAAAAAAAATATCTAGCACATAACAAGTGTCGCGGCCATAGAAGCAACAAGTGTCTATTCGATTGTTTTATAATTTTTTGAGCGTCGCTGCTGCCGCTCTGCTGCTGCTGACAGCGGCGGGTCAAGCTAACGGTAAACGATCGAAAAAGAAATTCAAACAGACTGTGAGTGAAATTATGTACTTGCTTTCATTTATTATAAACGTGCCCACATATTTATTGACTGCCCAACTTCTTATCGGCGACAGTTGTCGCCGCAGCTAATTAGCCATTACGGATGTGCGCGACTGCAACATGATTGAGCGAGCGGCCGTCAAACTGATCGGAGCTACAATTTTTGCATATGTGAATGCCTGAAACGGGCTCTTTTTTTGGGTTATCCTGAGTCTAACAAATGTGCGGCAAGCTGTGAAGAAGACACCAAACACAAAAAAGATCGCAGCAAAAAGCGGTTCTGCCGGTTTGCCCAGGTCGCGATCCGTCTGTCTCTAGCTGGCAGCACGACTTTCTTTCCTTTGCACAATTTGAACTTGGACACCAAACGACAACAGGCACAAATCTGGTTTATGTTTATGTGCGTCTAATAAAGCGGCATTTACGGCCATGTGCCGACGGCGGCTCCTCTTCGTGCTGCTCGTGGTGGTGGTTTCTTGGTTTGTTGCTTGGTGGCCGCAACACCTTAACCTCGGCCGCAGACTATCTGCGCATTTGCTTTTAGGCGACTGTTTCGCTTCCTGGACACTTCCTTTTGCCCCCATCCACGCTTTCCGCTGTGGTTGCGCCTCTCTTTGTTCATTTTGTTTGCTTAGTTTTTACAGCAGGAACAAACACCAACAAAGCGGGTCAACTCAAGAGATATGTACATACATAACGCATGTATGAAAATATATGCTAGAAATCATCTGGCTGCACACGGTTCAAGTGATTATTAATTCAGACAAGCTTTTGCTCCATTAAATTTACAATATGTTACCCGTTGTCTTCTTGGGAACTTGATCCCTAAACTCGATGCTGCGAGGAGGCGTTCGCTTCCCCCACTTATCAGATGCTCTTGGGCCTAAGCCAGACTTGTTGTTAATATTTATCATAGAGACCTTGACCAGCATTTATACCCTGAACCCATTAAAAATGTGTAAACGGGGAAGGAAGCAACTCCGACCCCATAAACTTATATATATATTCCTGATCAGCATCAATAGCCAAGTCGAACTAGCCGTGACCCTCCGTCTGTTCGCAAGTATCTCAGAACCTGTAAGAGCTAGAGACTTGCTTCTTAATGTTTTCTTTTATTCCAAAAAATAGCTTTAGCTAAAATGTCAATTATCGTTTAGGCGCTGTGTTTATCAGCAGTCAGTGAGTCATTTATTTAACATCTATATTATAATAGTATATATGCATATGTATATATGTATATAAGCAAGTCGTATTCATAGCCAAAACCCGCAGTTTTTTTGTAATCTAACATACATAATAATGTAATTACGTATGGGCATGTTTGTGCCCCGCCCTGCTCTTGTTATCAACGCCCAATTGAAAATGTATCGAATTTCATTTCAATTTCAATTTCAATGGCGTCTATTGATTTGACCCATTTTTCAATTGTGTGTGTGTTTTTGTGGCAATAAGACGCTAAGCCGCTTAGCTTCAGTCCAAAGCGATCGTCTGGTTAGCCAAGTACTCTCCCCCCCCCCCCCCCCCCCTCTCCATTGTTTGCCAAATATATATGCCAGCACAGTTGTGCACACACAAAGACACAGTCATATATATAGATATATGCTCCCCCCTTTTGGCTCCACGGAGCTTCACCTTGAGGCGAGCGAAGCACAGAAGCCGAAGTCAGTTTGTGGCCAGCGCTTCTAATGGAAATGATGTAATTCTTGCATAGATATCTGAACAATGAGCAAGGCCCATAACAAAAACAAAAAAGAAGTCGCAAATAAAGCAACAGAGAGCGTCTTTTAAAGCGAGCCCTCAAAATTGCACGCATTTTAGTTTCGTTAATTGCGATAATGCCGCACGGGGACTTTATTATTAACGAGCTTTGTCATGTGCGCCACTCACCTGTGTGTACCTGTGGGGGTGGCTGGTAGGTGTCTTCGATTTATCAGATCTCGATTTGTGTTTATTATAAGCTACAAATTTGCTGTTTTATGGTCGAAAAAGCAAGTTACGCCGCATTATCTATTGGCAAGTTCCACTAAAATGTTATTGATAACGAGAAGGTTTCTTTTGTTCGGAATGGTGCCTTTTCTACAGGGTGCCACGCACATATACAGAGTCGTCTACACCATTGTAACATTCTTTGTTTATTCAATGCACTGGAAAAGGTGCTTCTAATAGCTTTGATTATTCTTTATATAGAGAGTGAGACTCTTTTTCATGAGAATGGGCTTGTCACACAGGGTGCCTTTCACATATAAAAGGCTGGTTCACAGCATTTTGTACGTACATTGTTACATTCTTTGTTTATTCAAATCAAATGGTAAATTACCTCTAACAGCTTTAATTGTTCTTTTATAGCGAGTGAGCTTCTTTTTCTTGAGAATGTGCTATTCATACAGGGTGCCTTGTACATATAAAAGTATGCACAGGGTCCTCTGCACCATTTTAAATTTCTTTGTTTATTCAAATCAAATGATAAATTACGCCAAACAGCTTTGATCGTTCTTTCATATCAAGGGAGCCCCCCTTTTTGAGAATAGGCTTTTTATACAGGGTGCCTTGCACACATGAAATGCTGACTTGTAAGCCTGTTCCGCCACATTTTGTATGTACCATTCTTTGCTTAATCAAAGTACTTGAGAAATTGCATTTTACGGCTTTGGGTTTTCTTTTACTCGAGCAAACATCTGATAAGATAGTATATGGGGCCTGTATAACATAATGAGTCAGGCCTTAAGCTGTGCCAACAGATACGAACGTGTTCGTGATCGAGGTCAGCGCGACAAATTGTATACCCTATAGAAAAAAACGTGTCTTACTCCACTTGACAGCTTATCGTTGCAACTCCTCAATGAAAACCGAAAGTGAGCTCCATTAAAATTAAAATAAAAAGTTGGAATAATAGATTTGGAAAACCAGAACTACAGTAAAAACTAAACTAGTATTTTCAAAGTGTCTCATCCATCAATTAAAAAAAAAACCCGCAGCTATCATAAGTTTTGATTGCCCCAGGCACAGGCAATATAATACACACAGCTGCACGGCACTTCCAGCCATTACAATATTATATTTTTTCGACACTTTTCGACTTCAAGAACTGGCGATCCATTGTTAAAACGGCGGTCGGTCGAGCGAGAACGTGTGCTGCCCGGGGCTCAAGATTACCGAATCGGCGAGACGCCAAGTGCCAAAGTGTCAACTAAGGGTTTTTTGTGGAAGTTCGTAAAGAGTACGAAAAGAAATATACATTGCGAATCGGATTACTCGCCTATATATTCGTATATAGAGACAAAAAGTCTGGTTTTTGGGCCATAAAAAAGGTAAATGCGAAACGGTTGAACATTTCATTTCTTAAACAGATTTTTTTCGCCATTGAATTTGCGTGAAAGATCAGTCACCAGCCAGTTGAATAGCTGGCAATATATGTTTGAAATCAGTTGGTTTTTTTTGTTTTTTTTTTTGTATTTGATCCAAAACTCGTATGCGTCAGTCGCGCCGATCGCTGGACAAATATGAGTCAGCAGCTCGAGATAGTATCCCGTCTTTTTTGCATTCATCGCCAGCTCGCGGTTGAATGAAGGCGTTTCGGTTTCTTAATTCGAGAGCCGAAAACTTAACGATCATCCAGAGCAGAGCAGAGCGGGGCGAAGCGGAGCGAGGCGGAGCGGAGTGGAGCGAAGCGATTCAATGATCGCCAAGTGGGGGCCATTGACGCTGGAAGGTCGCAGCACATGCCGGCTTGGCCATATCGATTTGTTATTATGCATATTGCTCGAGATGCCGACAAGAACTTTGTGGCTAACCCTTGGGAATTGCTAAATATATTTGTGTTCGTCATTTGGATAAACACGCCGGAATCTTGCTTTGTTATTCCATATAACTGGCAGATGCCAACGTCTTCAATTACAGCAATGTATTCCAGCTTGGATTGAGAAAATATTTTGGAATGTATCAAATTATTTTTATTTGCGTTCAAGTTCTTGGTCGTGTAGAAGGGCTTGGGCTAGACCCGGGCCACATTGAGCAGGTGATAGAGCGGCCAAACATTGTTGTTGGACTTGCCAGCGACGAGGTTGCTCGTGGAGGCCAAGACGCGTGCCTGATAGCTGCCGGGAATGGAGCGTGGTGCGAGCTCTGGCTGCACTGCGTTCTCGTCGAGTTCTTCGTTTTCCGTGGAGCGATACCATGGATAGCCTGGATAGCCAGGGTAGCCAGGATAACCAGGATAATGGGGATAGCCAGGATAGTGGGGATAGCGTGGATAGCCGGGATATGGATAACCAGGATAGCCAGGACCACCGGAACCATGACCAGGATAGCCGGGATAACCAGGATAGCCGGGATTGCCAGGATTGCCGGGATAGCCAGGATAGCCAGGATAGCCAGGATTGCCAGGATAGCCAGGATAACCACCACCACCACCGCCACCGCCACCGCCACCACCACCTCCACCACCACCACCACCACCCCAATGACCCCAGCCATAGGGCCAAGGATTATAGGGCGGCGCCCAGGGACGCTGCGGTGGTACTTGAGGATAACCGGGCCACGGATAAACTCCTGGCGGTAATACTGGCCCGTGCTGGCGAGGATGCTCGCTGCCCTCTGAAGTATAATAGTAATGGTGTTGATGTTGTACTGGCGGTTTGGCTGTAGTCGTCGAGCTGGAGCCCACGAAGTGTTTGAAGCCAGCCTTACCCATCGATGTCAACAGATGATCTTCGATGTTACGTGTCGATCCCACCGTATCTGTATCAACGCCAACGCTGCCGCTGCCACTGCCCCTGCCACCCAGGACCTGCTGTTGTGTCTGCTGCAAGTTCTCGCCGCGCGCCTGGCCCTGGCTTGGCTGCAGCGACGCCTTCTCCTGGTAGGTGAGCGCCCGGCCTAGCAGCGAGAGCAGCACTGCAAAGGAGTTGCGCAAGAGTTCAACAAATTGATGATAGCCCGCGTCCAGTCTGCGCCTCATACTCACCTATCCAGAGTATTGATGCTCTGTGTTCCATGGTCGGTTCATAAATATGCTGCGAATGCAGCCGGACGACCTTTATATAGCCACTCCGTGAACCTGCAGCAGCTGCAAAGTGCATCTTTTATCGCTTTTCTATGCTAACGGTTTTCTCATTAGAATATTCGATGCATCCATTTCCATTTTCCCATCGAGCAGACCCCAATTCGGAGCTACACACCAATTGTCGCCAGCTGCTTTCTTTCGTCTGTAGGGTATCATAAGCTGTCTTGTAGGGTATCATAAGTTGTAGAGCCTGTGTGGGCTAGTTGACTAAACGTCGGACTTACAGAAGTGAGGTCGCCGGTTCAATTTCATCTGTAAATGGAATGTGTAACTCATATAAAGTAGAAGACTTCCAACTCAAGAAGTATATATACATAATATTAATCTGTATTCATAGCTGAGTTGGAGTTGGCCTAATCGGATCACTATATAATAAAGTTCTATAGGGAAAATCGGTCTTGATATCTGTTTATCAAGATCTGCAAACCTGTGTCAAACCGGACCACTACCTATATCTTATGGCCCTATCAGAAATCTATCGAACGTTAAGCTTTCGTATTACGGCATTTCTAAGGGTATAAAATCTTCGTCGTTGAGCTCTTTCCGATTCGACTTACCTCTGGATTGTTCTTGAGCATTCGTGGCTAATAAGATCGGTGCTTAATTTGCATAAGAAGTGTTGAATATTCTTCGATGTCTTTTGTATCCAGCCAATTTGAAACTGAATGCATTTAGTAATCTCTGCTGGGCGATCGGCGACAATCTCTGCTCCGAGCATTGGGCAAAGAGAAAGAGTTCAATAGCCGATAATCGTGTCTGGGTGTCGCTTGAGATATTACGTCATTTGTCGAGTCTCGTTTGGACCCTCTCAGCTCAGTTTCTTGACTGGTTTTGGGCAGTTTCAACATTTGTCTATCATCATTTTGACCCCCCGTCGCTTAGTTTTCCCACTGAGGTCAATATCAGATTAATGGGCCAGCTTTGTAAAGCACAGCACAAACCAGTCCAAAGTTCTTGACACGATTTGCGTAAGGAGCTCTCGGGTGTTGAAAGAATTGTGTACATTAAGGTGTTACCCGGCCCAAGTAAAGAAAACACATAAATCCCAAACGAGTGTCAATGACTTCAAGAACTCGAAGGCAAAAGTGCGGCATAACTTTAGGCAGCCACACAATTTGCAAGAATCAAACAATAATTGAACCGATAATGTTCCGAATTTAGAGTCTGCCTCATGAAGTACTTTGTGAGATTGCAAGAGCAAAAAGTTCTTCAGCAAAAAGAATCTAGATCTGCCATAGACTTAGAGAAAGGGGAACTTGTAAAGCCTAGTTTATAGTAAATGGAATAGCACTCATGCCAATTTACTACTTAAATTTTTAAGTACATATTCCTGCATATTTTTAATTTCCTTTGGTTTTTTATTTAACTCTACGCAGAAGAAGCGTATAAAGTAAATGGAGTTTCTTGTACTCGATTCTTCTTCAATCAGGTATACAAAAATCTTAAAATAAGTATCAGAAATTCTTAGTATTTCAAGTACAAAAACTTATTTTGTTTAGCTTAATATGAAATCCTGCCATCAAGCATATATGTGATTACTTTCTGCTCACAACATAGCAAAGACATGAGGTTTTCAAATTAATTTTGAAATGAATTTCTGTATACAGACTTTTATCGGGGCTGTGACAATTACGTGCAGTAAACAAAATATGTGACAAATAGATCATTATTATCGCTGCAGTTGTGCATGGGCATGGACTTGGACGTAGACATGGATGAGCGCATGGTTAGGGAACATGGAACATGGAATATGGAATATCTGTCGCACTTCGGGCACATTGTGTAATTAGTTACAAGTGCAAACAGCTTCGTCGCATTTTTCAACTATTTTCTCTGCGAAACAAAAGCGGCATTAAACAAATCGAATGTAGAACACAATAAGAATGAAGTGCACGCCGAACACTGAATGCCCTATTAGACTTACGGACTTTGAAAAGGATATAATTTGAAGGGGATAAACTAAAGCTCTTAAATGCTGAGTTTTGTGAAGATATGTTGACACGAGATTGGTAAAGATATCTTTTATAGGATATCAAAATTTTTCATATATATAATCCAATCCATTCACTTTCACGATATTCTACTGCCTGCAACAGAAGAAGAGCTTGAAGCACTGAGACTCTCCTTGGCCTCAAGGTCTCCTTTGCCTCAAGGTCGCAGCTATCGCCTCGCATGCGTAACACATTCAATGACATAGTTATAAGACCCTCTGGAAGGGCATAAGTATGTGTGCACTCAATAGCTGATAAGAGAGCGATACTAAATGGACCGAATGCCGAGCTGTAATTCTCGGATGGCGCCTAAAGCTGCAACTGGCAACAAAACTAATGACTCGCTGTGCGGTTCAGAGTTCTTGAAAATTTAGCACAGATCGTAACAGAAATTTGCCAGTACCACGTAGAACTCCGGCGCATGGGGATCACAGTGAAAGGAAACAAAAGCTTATTTTTAAACATACTATCACAAAGCGAGCTCGTTTGATTAGAACTCATCATACTGTCTTATTCTGAGTCATCTGTCGGCGCATCGTCTGTATATATAGTGTATATCGTGTATATGGCATATACGGGCCAGGTACAGGCGGCATTTGCGTGAATGCGAGCGGAGACCCAACGCACTATCTAATCGCTGCCGATTGGGCCATTGCGGCTCTTGGGAAGTGCTCTCCGTGCAGCCTAACCTAAAGCTGATAACTGGCAAACAACCGGGCCAACAGCCAACAATTCTATATTGATGGTTAAAACGCTATTGCCAACTCCGGATCGTGTTAGTTTGCCAACGCAGTCGTTGATGTGCAGAATAGTATGTGCGAAAACTGATATCGATCAGTGTATAGTCAATCAACAAGGATAAACCACAAGCAAACACAATGGCCAGGTATAGCGTTATCTGGGCCAATAATTGGCCCTTGTTCTAATGTGTTTTGTCTGATTAAAAATGAAAAAAAAAAAAAAAATTGCCAACCTTCAAGTGCTTACATCATGCTATCAATGTTGGACTTTGTTTAACAATTTCCGCCCGCAGCTATCCTGCAACTAATTTAATTTATACTTATATTTATTGCGGCTCCGCATAATCCGACATTGGCAAATAATATAATAATGTCATTGCGTAATCGACGCCTTTGGATTTGTTGGCTACGATATGAAAGTGTGTACAAAACTCTAGACCTTAATAACCCAGGCATTTCCAGTGATATGATATATGACATCGATAAGCAGAGAATGCGAATTGCACCTGCCCAACGTTCATATCTATTAATAAACATCGCGAATGCTTTCATTAAATATAACGTGCGAGTTTCTTTTATGCATAATGCATGCTTCTTATATACGCCCAATTCTGGATCTATCGATATATATATATATATATATAGATACATATATCTACTTCTGATTTTAATAGCTTTGGCTACATTTCCTTATGGCCATAAATTCTCTACACATAAAAAAAATCTTATCAATTGGGTAAGAGGTTTTTACAATCGGTTTTTACCGAACGATCCAATACCTGACGATTAAGACCCTCAAGTTGTTTAGCTGGAAACTGGCGCGAGGGCCGATTGTGTGTGTACTTGAAATGCTTCTACAGAAATTTACATACGCTTATCAAGACTAGAAATAAAATAAAATAAAACTTAACTGATCTTGTGGTCGTGACTTTTCCCATAGCTATAAACCTTTACCCAACATGGAGACGGGTTTGCACGAACGCGATCGTGCGGGCGTACAGGATTTCGTGCTGCTCGAGAACTACGAAAGCGAGGATGCATTCATTGGCAATCTGAAGAAGCGTTTTCAGGAGAACCTCATCTATGTAAGTGCACAAAATTCTATTGATTTCCCTGCTCTGTTTGCTGTCTTTCACAATTTCAATCTCAATTCCTGTCTCTGTCTCTATTTCTTGTCTCTTACCACGCATCCACTGCTCTAAAATATTGTACACAATTTTTAGACCGGATGCTGGATCTGTGTAAGCCCTTTCATGCTATTCTCTTGCCCATAAGTTTCCCTTTTTTCGGTTAAACAAAATCTGTCTATCTTCATTACAGACCTACATTGGCCAGGTGCTGATCTCGGTGAATCCCTACAAGCAGCTGCCCATCTACTCCGATGCCCACATCAAGGAGTATCGCAATAAACACTTCTATGAGATGCCACCTCATATGTAAGTCGGAAATCTACCTCTTTCTTTCTCTGAATGTTGTCTTATAATTGGCTTCATCTTTAGCTTTGCCGTGACGGACAACGCGTTCCGCTCGCTGATCGAGGAGAATCGCGGCCAGTGCGTGCTCATTTCGGGCGAGAGTGGCTCCGGCAAGACGGAGGCCTCCAAGAAGGTGCTGCAGTATATTGCCGCCTGTTCCGGCCATCAGACCACCGTGGAAGGCGTCAAGGATAAGCTGCTCAAGAGCAATCCCGTGCTGGAGGCCTTCGGCAATGCCAAGACGAATCGCAACGACAACTCCTCCCGCTTCGGCAAGTACATGGACATCCAATTCGACTACAAGGGCGCGCCCATTGGTGGCAACATTCTCAACTATCTGCTGGAGAAGTCGCGCGTGGTGGCCCAGATGGGCGGGGAGCGTAACTTCCACATCTTCTATCAGCTGCTGGCGGGCGCAGACGCCGCTCTGCTGCAGGAGCTGCACCTGGAGCGTGCTCTGGACAGCTACAACTACCTGACGGATGGGGTAAGTTATATGTGAAGCACATCTGAGGTTGTTCCAACTAACTGGCTTCGTTTGGAATAGGTCAAGGGCAGCGTGGGGAGCATCAACGATGCGGACAACTTCAAGCAGGTGCAGCAGGCATTGAGCGTGATTGACTTCAGCGCAGAGGAGCAGCGCGAGATCTTCTCCATTGTGGCCAGCATACTGCATCTGGGCAACATCGCCTTCAACGAGGTGGAGGGCAATGCCCAGGTGAACAGTCGAGATCTGGTTGTCACAGTCTCCCGCCTGCTGGGCGTCAATGCCAGCGAACTGGGCGCTGCGCTGACCCATCGCACCATTGATGCACGGGGCGATGTGGTCACCTCGCCGCTGAACCACGAGCTGGCCATCTATGCCCGAGATGCGCTGGCCAAGGCTGTGTACGATCGTCTCTTCTCCTGGCTGGTGCAACGCCTGAACATTTCGCTGCAGGCGAAGGAGACGCGCGGCGCAAGGAACAATGTGATGGGCATCTTGGATATCTATGGCTTTGAGATCTTCAAGAGAAATAACTTCGAGCAGTTCTGCATCAACTTCTGCAATGAAAAACTGCAGCAACTGTTCATTGAGCTGACGCTGAAGTCCGAGCAGGATGAGTACAGACGCGAGGGCATCGAGTGGATTCCGGTGGAGTATTTCGACAACAAGGTCATTTGCAATTTGATTGAGGAGAAGCACAAGGGCATTATTTCCATACTGGATGAGGAGTGCCTGCGTCCCGGCGAGCCCACTGATCGCACCTTCCTCGAGAAGCTCACACAGAAGCTGGCCGATCATCATCATTATGTGTGCCACGAGAAGGCACCGATTCAGGTGCAGAAGGTGATGGGACGCGATGAGTTCCGCTTGGTCCATTATGCCGGCGAGGTGACCTACACTGTCAACGGATTCCTGGACAAGAACAACGATTTGCTGTTCCGCGATCTCAAGGAGACGCTGAGCAAGGCGGGCAATAACATTGTGCGCTCGTGCTTCCCGGAGCAGGAGCTACGCAGCAAGAAGCGACCCGAGACGGCCATAACGCAGTTCAAGTCCTCGCTGAACAACCTTATGGACATACTGATGTGCAAGGAGCCCAGCTATATACGCTGCATCAAGCCCAACGATCTGCAATCGCCGGGCATCTTTGACGATCAACTGGTCCTGCATCAGGTCAAATATCTGGGCCTCATGGAGAATCTGCGCGTGCGTCGTGCCGGCTTCGCCTATAGGCGCAGCTATGAGCTCTTCCTGGAACGCTACAAGTGCCTGAGCAAGTCCACCTGGCCCAACTACAAGGGTGCTGGCGGAGCCAAGGCTGGCGTGCAGCTGCTGGTCAAGGATTTGGGCTACAACAGCGAACAGTTCAAGCTGGGCGAGACGAAGCTTTTCATACGCTGGCCACGCACGCTCTTCGACACGGAGGATGCCTACCAGGCGAAAAAGCACGATATTGCCGCCATCATTCAGGCGCACTGGAAGGGTCTGGTGCAGCGACGCAAGTACCTGAAACTGCGCGCCCAGGTCATTGTGCTGCAGAGCTACTGCCGCCGGCGTCTGGCCCAGCAGGCGGCCAAGCAGCGTCGCGAGGCGGCGGACAAGATACGCGCCTTCATCAAGGGATTCATCACGCGCAACGATGCGCCCAATGGCTACAACGATGACTTCATTGCCAATGCCAAGCGCATGTGGCTGCTGCGACTGGCCAAGGAGCTGCCCACAAAGGTGCTCGACAAGAGCTGGCCACCAGCGCCCGGCCACTGCCAGGAGGCGTCCATTTATCTGCATCGCCTGCACCGCTTGCACCTGGCGCGCATCTATCGCCACCAGCTGACGCCGGAGCGCAAGCGCCAATTCGAGCTGAAGGTGCTCGCCGAGAAGGTGTTCAAGAACAAGAAGAACAACTATGCGAACAGCGTGCCAGCCTGGTTCCAGACCGACCGCATCCCCCAGGAGCATATACAGCGCGTCAACGACTTTGTGGCCAGCAACTTTGGCAGCGAACAACTCAAATATCAATCGGCCTGCACCAAGTTCGATCGACATGGCTACAAGTCGCGGGAACGCTTCATTCTGCTGAGCAACAAGGCCGTCTATGTGCTGGACGGCAAGAGCTACAAGCAGAAGCATCGCCTGCCGCTCGAGAAGATCGACTTCACCCTGACGAATCACAACGACGACCTGATGGTCATCCGGATACCACTCGATCTGAAAAAGGACAAGGGCGATCTGATCCTGATCATTCCGCACATTATCGAGTTTAGCACCTACATCATTGACACCGTCGGCACCGCCGATATCGTCTCCATTGTGGACAGAGCTTCGTGAGTGGCAGCTAAAACTCGAGTTTGGTTTTTTTTTCTAATCTTTATCGTTTTAGCCTGGAACACAATGTGGTCAAGGGTAAGGGCGGTGTCATAGAACTTCAAACGGGCGCCGAACCCGGCGTTGTGCGTGATAAGAGCGGCCATCTTGTTGTTGTGAGTAAAAATAATGAATTATCATATATTTTAAGATTTAAATAACTTTCATTAACCCTTTCAGATTGCTGGTCAATAAGGAATTTAATACAATTAACTACCAAATGGCTTTAAATCAAACGACAACTGTTTTGTTATACTATTCCTGTAATTTATATACTGTATTTTTGTATTTTGTTACTGCAATGAGGCGTGTAATTTTGATTCTATGTACTTATGTTCCAATTAATTATATACTAATTGTTTATATAAATCATAAATATATATCAGCGCTTTTAATTGAATACGTCTAATTGCGCTGCTATAGTTATTGCATGATTACGTAACCACAGGCGTGGCAATACAATCTTATCTATGTTCCTATTTCAATACAAATATTGATTGATTAAGTTGCATCAATGACAAGCACATTAAAGGCCGTTATTTGGTGCACATTTTATCAGCTGACAACCACTTTAACATGCTGTCAGCTCATTCGCCTGCATTTGACAGCAGCATTTTATTTAACAAGTGGCAACATCGAACAATATTTGTATACAACAAATTTTTAATTGGCAGTTCAAAATTTATCGTGTATTTTTCAACACTGCCCGCCGGCTAATCGATTACGATATGACTTCGTAAAAAATCAAAAAATATTAAAGCATTTTCTTAACAAAATAAGTATGAATAATGTTATGTCGCTCTGAACAGGTCATATTAGGTCTTTTATTAGGCAGCTTTTGCGCTAGACAGCTCTTCCATTGTAGGCAATCACAGCGAACCGGCTACACAAAATACATCGATGAGCAGAGGTTCGGTTGGTATCGATACTTATTCAACATCTGTGCTGCCTTTGCTCCTCCAGAACTTTTACATAATCTGAGCCCCCGTTTTGCTAGAAATTCGGTGTAAATATTGTTTAAAACGTGTGCAAAGTGCATAATAGCAATCCGAGTTTATTATATTTTATTTGTGTTCCAGGTTAACCAAGAGATGTCGTTCACACAAGTCGCACGTAGCTGCGGCCGATTTGCGGCTGCCCTGAGCACAGTTCGCATCGCCAGTGCCGTTGTTCAGACGCAGTCTAGGATGTTGCACCGGATTGCCGTGCCTGCCATGGGCACTCAGCTCACCCAAGTAAGCGCACAGTGATTTCTTCTATTGGTTTGCACAAGGTGTCGGTGTATAAAAGTAGTTATTTATTGCGCCCTAACCTCATTGTGAAAAAACTCTACGGGGGAGATATTGTCTCCCGAAGAGTTATTTAGGGTGCGTGTGCCTATAAAACTTGACAGCACTTGGACTTGGTCGAAAGAATAGACGCCCTCTATCAGCATATATATATTGCATCATATTTTTTGCACCAAAACATGATTGTTATGGTGAAATCTCAGTTTTACACTTGCGGAGATAGTCGCCGGCAATGATTGGGCATTGCTCATAGATTGGGATTAGTTATATCAATATCGATTCTCACATTCTTACAGAAGTTCACAATGCGCAACTACTCGGCCAGGAATACCATTGAAGAAATTGAGCATCGTGTGTTAAAAGTCGTGTCCGCCTACGACAAAGTGACTGCCGACAAGGTAAACTGATGTTATCAAGAATCCACTAACTTGGTTTCTTTTGTTCTTTTCTTTTTGGGGCGCACATTGCAGGACAGCAGATGTCGCTGGCAAACGCAATCGGTGCGCAGTTACTCGGCGAAACCGCCATTGTCACTGAAGCTTATCAACGAGCGCGTCTTGCTTGTGTTGAAGCTGTACGATAAGATCGATCCCAGCAAGGTAAAGACCAAGCTCATGGCCTAGGCTTATTTGATTCAATGCCACAATTGCCTTTGCCAGTTAAATGAATGAATATTGTGCCGTCAAAAGAAACGAACAAAGCTGCCATAATTACTATTTTTACTATTAATTGTGTTTCCCTTGCAGCTCAACGTGAACTCGCACTTCATTAATGATCTTGGACTGGACTCTCTGGACCACGTTGAGGTCATCATGGCCATGGAGGATGAGTTTGGCTTTGAAATTCCAGACTCGGACGCAGAGAAGCTTTTGAAACCTGCCGACATCATAAAATATGTGGCCGACAAGGAGGACGTATATGATTAAATGTAACGCGAATCCATTAAAAGATTACACTAATTTTAAATGAAAGGCATCAAATTTAATTTGAACAATATATTAAAATTGAATAAAAACCAACGTTAAGCCAATTTTAAATCGATAACGTAACATTCGATTGCCTTTAAGGTGTGCATTTATCGAGCGATAACGATAACATAAGACAGCTGGCCCCAATTAGACATCAAAACAGATTCAAAATGTCGGAAATAATTGACGATGTATTGGCGGGTCTCGGTAAATATAAAGTAAAATTGCAATTAGCCTAGCTCACTGTCCACTCTCAATCCAACTGCAGCTTCCACACGGCAGACCATGCACAATCAGTCGGAAAAAATCGGTGAAATCATGGAGAAGTCCAACAACACGCTCTTGCATATCGAAGCGCAGGCTTCAACGATGCCAACATTCAAAGGCAGCGTTCAACCCGAAAATCTCTATCATTTGAGTTCAGATTGTGAACTGTCGCTCACAAGAATATTGGAGCAGTTCCAGCAGCTCATGCAACAAAGTGTAAAGTGCGAAGATAACCAAGCCGGTGCCCAAACCGCCCTCGATTGCTGCTTATCTACACGCCATCGCGTGGAAAACTTGAGAAGCAGCGCCCGCAAGCTGGTGGCACTTCACGATACGATTGCTCAGCTGAAGCTGCACGTGCAGGAGCAGCACGAGCTGCTTGCCAATGTCGAGAAAGACGACTCACATTGCGATAGCACATAAATCCATTTAATATACAAAACTTAATAAACACATTTAAGTAGTACTGAAGCAGCTGATTTGCATGAGGGTGTAGTTGAGCACCTCGACCAGAGTCTCCAGGCGTGCAACGGTCGTGTCCATGGGATTGACCACAGGTGAGAGGCTGTGCGAGCGTAGATAGTTTAATTGCTTCATGTTTTCAGCAATGGCATTCAGCTTGCTCGCCTCTTCGACCGTGAACGCATCCGGCGCCTCACGCTGGCTGGGCATCAGTTTTTCCAGCTGCTGAGCGAAGATTTCCAGCTGTGCGATCTTGTCCAGGTAGACTGACTGTTCGCCTTCTAGAGCAGAAGCCTCATTAAAGACCTGTCGCAGCTTCTGCTGAAAATTCTTATAGTCCTTGTACACTTGCGCAGCGCTCGACTCCTGCTCCAAGCGGCTCATGCTGAGCGCCAAAGAGGCGCTTGAGGTGTTGATAGCACTTTGATCCTGCATAGCATCAGTTCCCTTGATGATTACGGAGTTTGCCCGTTGCAGTTCGCGTTTTTTCGGCTGCCGCTGCAGATTGCTTGGGTAAGTTTCGAATACTTTAAACAGTTCTGCATATTCTTCGACTGTGCCAAGCACCTTGCCTGGCGAAGTCGGCGTCGTCTCGGCTTCGATATTCTGCTCGAGACTTTTGAAGAAATCGTTTGCCTTTATAACAGATTTAGTGACACACAGCTCTCTTAAGTTGATTGGATGCTGATCGAAGTATTCATTGCATTTCGCAGAAAACGCACTATAATCAAAATTTGCATCCATTTTTGTTTGTTGCAAACGCTTTTCCAAAAATGTAAGCAATATACGCGCGCGTCAAAGCATTGGTAGAGTTACTAATCGATTGCATTCGATTAATCGAGTAACATTGTATATCGAACCACTTGACTCTGTTTTGGCCGCGAATTTTGAAATTGTTCCATGATATTAATTTTAATTACCAATAATGATAATACTGACAGCCAGATTCTTTTTCGATAAATACGAGCTTACATTTATTGACAGACCGCTTAAATCTAGTATCAGACTTTTATATGAAGTGTTTTCACTTATCCGTATTCAGATTGCACGGTGAGCGAGAATTGACCTCTGGGTATGGTATTGGCATGATACCAGGTGCGTGTGTCCACCAGAACTGCATCGCCTGGCTCAACATAAAAGAAGAACGACTGACATTGATGATCGCATTCCGGCGCGGGCGACAGAAACCAGCTTTTGTTTCCCTGCAGCTGTGCCTGCCACATGAGTCGCGGAATATAGTCCAGCTGTGAGAAAAGACAGAAACTTACAGAGCTTGTTCATTGCATGAGCTCAGTACTTATTACGTGCATGACGGCACCCTGCTCGTAGCCCATCAGAATATAGTCTGTGTTCGGCATTTCAGCATCGACGGGCAGAAAGTGTGGCCGTGGATACAACTTGCGCAGCTCCGTGAGCACCGTCGGATGGCAAACGCTCCATCCCACAAACCATGGCGCACCCTCGCTCAGATTGGCGCGTTTCGGAGACATCTGGAAAACGTCACGCAAGGATTTGAGGTCCGAATTAAAGTGCTGAAACTGGCATATTGTGTCCAAAGCACCGGGCACGCTCTCATAAAGTTCCTTGATGTATGTATAGTTAAGACTTCGCTCTGCTGGCCAATGCGCAACAGCCTTTTTCACAATGATTGGCCGCGAGGAGTAGGCATATCGGGCAAAGTCTTCGCGCGTCAGATTAGGTAAAATTAGAGGCGCCACAACGCCCTTGCAGAACTCACAGTCGCTGATTGGGCGCGTTGCCTCCCAGACCAGGTGGTTGTTGGGCAGGAAGCAGCGCACGCCCAGCAGGAACGAGATGGTCTCGTAGAAAACGGGCGTCGCCACCATTATGAAGAATATGATGCCTAACAGCCACAGGAAATTCAACCGGTTTTGATTGGCATTCCTGTCGCGCGCCTTTCGATAAGCTTCCTGCAGATCCGCAGTGGACACCAAACCAGTGCGCAGTGCATTCAGATGTAATTCATCGAGCTTGTCTAGAAAATCATCGCCCAAGCGGTCACGCACCGCTCGCATGCGATTGCCCAGCGTCCCCATGGGACGGCTTATGAACTGAAACGGATAATTTGAAAATTTATTAAACAGTTTTTTGTATACTATTGTTATAATCGCTTACCAAAAACATGTCAACAACAGCGCTATATTTTCAATTGTTTGCCATCAGCTGTTGGCGATGTATCGAATAGTGACACCCGTTGTTGCACTAATCGATTTGAGCATGTGAATAAGCTCGGTATTTTTTAAACGATATGCAGTTTCATCTCTAGTGCGAATGTTACCCAACATATATCGAATAATCGATACCATCAAGGCCCCTGTCGCATGGCCAATCAGTTTGCCAATCACTTGCTGCATTGCGCTTTGCTCGGACGTAGTATCGCCCAGCATTAAATCTAAATAAGTTTTTTTTGGTTGGATTTCTAACCGTCTAGTACAAAGTCTACGTGACAATAATACAAGAATGTGTGTTTAATACTCAGTGAATTGAAGTTTTCATTCATCGTTCATCGCTGCTTCTGTGCAAAAGTCGTGACCCCAAAAAGCTGCTGCTGCTGCTTGTCCTCGCCAAACACACTTTCACTAAAGTACCTTACGCCCACTAGGAATAATTGTGCAATAATTAAAGAGACTTAAGATGTCTACGCAGGAAAAGGAAAAGGTCATTCGTGTTGGTTCACGCAAAAGCGAGGTAAGCTATGTGCATATATGTATATGTAAGTGCTTGAATATGTGCATTCGATTTACTCAACTTTCATTTGAATTTCAATCAGGTATTTACGTCCATCCGCCTCGTGCTTGCTCCCTCTACGCTTCCTTCTCTGTCTCTCTTCCGTTTCGTCTCGCCTCACACATTTATGCAAGACCAAGACTTGTTGCTCGCCTAAAAAATACCGCTGCTGCTGCTTGTTGTTGCTGACCGTGTTTTTTTTTTTTTTCTTTATTATTTTGGTTAGTGTTATACAATACTCAGCTCAGATTCGTGCGGCTCTCACGCACTGCTGCTGTTAGTCTCGCAATCACAATATTTATCTGTCAGTGTGCGCCACATTTTACCCCCCGCCCACCGCTTGATTCGTGAGTTTTTATATTTTTATTACTTTTTCACCATATTTTGTGGCAACTTGAGTCGTGCTTGGCGCGGATTGGCTCAAATCAGCTTGTCTTGGCTTGGTCCGGCTTTTTCAAGGCCGCAATTGCTTTAATACGCGCATATTTCAAATTGCTTTGCTAATTAAAATATAAAATGCCAATTGGCAACAACAACAGCAACAGCAGAAGCAGCTGTGACTGCAAATCCAATTGGAAGCTACCATTAATTACTCTCACACTCTCCCTCAATTACTCTCTCACTCCTTTTTGCCATTTACAGTTCATTTACATTTAGCATTTGCATATGCACTTGAAAGCATTTACTCATTACTGTTGCCGCTCTCTTCTCTCTCTCTCTTCCCTTGCAGCTGGCGCTCATTCAGACCAAACATGTCATCGGGCGACTGCAGAAACTTTATCCCAAGCAGAAGTTCGAGATACGTAAGTGAAAGTTTTCTCATTTTCCCCATAATTGTTAACATTGTTAATATTGAAATATTCTTGCGCGCATGCTTACAGTTAACATTTTCCTAGGCTTCACCGTGACTCAGCAGTATTGAGCAGCATTATCAGGCCCAAGTTGAGCCTAGCCAAAATTGTCTTATCAATTCTGCAAGCGTTACTAGCGTAAAGTCTAATAAGATTAAATGTTTTATTTATTTGCATGCAGAGGCGCGTCTGAATTTGTTCATTTTCTGCTCTTTTGCGTGCCTTTTGCCAAAATTTGCTCAATGTCAATGTCTTTTACTTTTGTGGCTTTTATTTCGCTTTTGGTGAATAACTTTAACGATTTTACTTTTAGATTAAAAGCACCCACTTTTCAGGCACTTATCTTTTTATTATAGAAACTTGACTAACGTGCTGCCGACATAATATGTTCATCTATTGAAATTCATTTTACGTTATCTGCCATTGATAACAATTGATAAAGTTTGTTTCTGTTTGAATATTTATGATTAGTTTATTCTTGGTTAAGGTTCACGCAATTCTTGTTGCTTTTATAATCAAAGAAACTATGCAAAAACTTGATTATTGATTGATAAAATTTAACTGATGAAAGCCTTTCTAAATTTACAACATGATAATATTGGACTTTTGTTGACGTTACGTCACTTTCTGTCACGTTTTCTTCCGCAAATTGGCTTTTTATCATACTTTTAAGATTTGCTTTCATAAAATCACGTTAAAGATTTAAATGCAGCTTTAAAGAGAGAAGAATAATGAATTGTTTAAATATGTCACGTAACGGGCATTATTATGGATTTTGTCTAGAAAGAAACTCAAGAATATTTGATGCACGACATATTTATTTATTTAAAATATCATTTTACCAAATAAAATACAAGTAAATAGGATTAGGAAATTGGAGAGCTCTTCTGAGTCTTTTGTTTATATAGATATAGATTATAGTCTGAAGGGGGGAGTCTTACAAAAGTGAGAAGGGTATTGTGACCTAGACAATAGTCCATTGTGCCCAGGACTCCCTGATGAAAGGATTTTAGAATTCTTACTAAAGAAGCCCCGATCCGAGCTGTGTACCCTTTCCTTTTAGCCCAATTAGTGATATATACAGAAGAAAGCCACATTTATTGTTTATTATTTTTGATTACATAACTATTTGCTTACAGTTTGAAATTGCTTCCAAAAACAGAATTTTTCTTAAATTTCCTTCATATTAAAAACGTGCGTTTGCCCTGCCCATTTAAGCTTAAGAATTTCCACCAGCATAATTCCCTCTGTTAATTCCGATAGCTTGGGTGTTTTATCTTCCTTACAAGCTATTAAACGTAATTGTTAATCAATGGAAGCAGTTTGGTGCCTCGCGCCACACGCAACATCCCGTTTAGATACACAAAGTCCCATGCATATATATCCAGTATATATGTATATATATATATATATAATGTATATAGCAGCATATTCAAATAGCGCCAACTGGCAGGCAAATTAAGAGTCTGATAAGCTGCAGTAGTTACTCCATTGCGTGCTGATAAAAAATATTTAAAATTTCGCTATCGTGCTGTGTGCCTGCTTCAGGCGGGAGGGGAACCTCATCATCGGGAACCCAATTCGCTTGCGTGTTTCGCTTGATTGCAGAGTTGCGCTTTTATCTCTGCTGATATAAGAAACGATATCAATTGGAATGGGCCACTGGAGAATAGATCTTCATGCATACTTACAAACATGCAACTCATTTGGATATCTTGTTGACTTTGCAGATACCATGTCCACCTTTGGGGATCGTGTGCTGAACGTTTCACTGCCGAAGATTGGCGAGAAGAGCCTCTTCACCCGCGATCTGGAGGATGCGCTGCGCAATGGCGGCGTTGATTTTGTTGTGCACTCGCTCAAGGATCTGCCCACAGCGCTGCCAACGGGCATGGCTGTGGGCGCGGTGCTGGAGCGTGAGGATGCCCGCGACGCGCTGGTGCTGCGCGAGAATCTGAAGGGGTACACGATTGCCACGCTACCCAAAGGCAGTGTCATTGGTAAGTTTGCCAACTTGTGTGCAGCTACAAGTTATCAACTTACTGTCCCATCTTCCCAACAGGCACCTCCTCATTGCGGCGCACAGCACAGATTCGTCGCCTGTACCCGCATCTGATTGTGTGCGATATTCGTGGCAATTTGAATACACGTCTGGCCAAGCTGGACGCCAAGGAGTCCAAGTTTGCGGGCATCATACTGGCGCAGGCGGGTCTCGTGCGCATGGGCTGGATGAGCCGCATTAGCCAAGTGCTTGAGCCCACGGATCTGCTCTATGCCGTCGGACAGGGCGCTCTGGCCGTGGAATGTCGTGCCAACGATGCTCATGTGCTGACCATGCTGCAGAAGCTCATGTGCCTGAACACCACGTGCCGCATTTTGGCGGAGCGCAGTTTTCTCAAGACGCTGGGCGGCGGCTGCTCTGCACCAGTTGCTGTCTGGAGCAATCTGAAGGGCGAGCCAAGCAGCATCAGTGCCAACAACAGGCAGCAGCAGCAGCAGCTAGAGGAAGTGGGCTTGTCGCTAACTGGCGCTGTCTGGAGTCTGGATGGTGCTATTGAAATACGCGAGCACCTGGACTGTGCCTTGAATGAATCTGAGACGGAGGTGCTGCGGCGCAAGCGTGCCGCAAATGAGCAACAGCAGCAGCAGCAGCCGGAGCAGGAAATGTCCAATGGCAACCACAGCAACAGCTGTGATTCGCCGCCTGCCACGAAGCGTGCTAGGAATGGCAACAGCCTGCCTGCCAATGGCACTGGCTCCGGGTCCGGCTCGGGCTCCGATTCAAGCTCTGATAGTCCGCGCCAACAGGGTAGTCCGCCGGTCATATGCGAGGACGCCTCCGTTACAGGCTATATCATGGAGGACCTGATCGAGCGGCACATCGATTTGGCGCGCAAGTGTCCCGTTGTTGGCCACGACAATAACAATGCACTAGGCGCTGGCGGTGACGCTGGCGGCGGCGGCGGGGATGCGGACACCAGCAATGCCAACACAATTGCTCACTGTCCGCTGCCGTTGAAGGTCGGCCAGGACGTTATGGGCGAGTGTCCGTTTGTCGACAATGAGACGAAGATTTCGTACGCCATTGCGGGCAAGTGTCCGGTCACTCACATGGCCCCGCTTCCCACGCCAATGCGCAGCAATGGCGATGAGCCGGACAATGCGACAACGACAGCAGCGTCTTCCAAGTGCCCGTTTGCAGCCATGCACCAAGGCAGCGGCCTCGAGGTCAGCCAAGAAATCACGGGTCACGCGAAATGCCCCTTCCTGCAGAAGACGGTGCAAATGTTCGACTATGCCGATGAGGAGCAACCGCAGCCGCAGCAGCTCAAGCTGCCTGTGCTCATCGAGGATGTGGATAATCTATTCTGCGGTCTCTATCAGCACGCCTGCCACAGCCGGGACATATACGTGAAGGCCAATCGCTTGGGCCAGACACTGGCCGAGCAGCTGATCAAGAAGGGAGCGCTCGACGTGATGAAGGTGGCCCAAGCGGAGATTCACAGCAAAGTGGGCACCTGAGCCAGCACAGGCTACGGCACGGCTTTCCATCTTTATCATCACCATAATCCATTCAAGAGTACGCATTAAGTAGAAAAGTTGAACTAGAAAATTGTTTTCATTATTTTTGTTTAGTTACGCGCGGGCTCTGCGTACATTATTTGTTGGGTTAGTCTTAAGGCTACTCGTAAATCTTATTTTAACGCATGTAGGAAATATATTTATATATTTTATATAAATATATAAAAAAAACGTGCTCTCTCTTTAGGAACTGCTCTCAAATTGTCGTTGGTTTTCTTTGTAATTTACATTGTTTATGTTATGGAAGTCAAACAATATATATACATATACAAAATCATAAACCTTATATATAATTGAAAACTACATATATATTTGCTTAATGGAATTGGCTTCCATTTCCGTGTTAGTTTCTTGTATTATTGAGGTTTTGTACTGTTTACAAATAGTTAAAAAGAAAATTAAAACATTAAAAATTCAGTCATTTTGGCATCCTTCAAGGCCTGAATTGCTGTGTACAAATCTGAAAAAGTAAGGAAGATTTAGTTAATACATTATTATAACAAGAAAAAAGTTATCTTCAGCTAAGAAATAATTCCACGTATGAATTAATATTCTTACTGAGAGCTTTAAATTATCAAATTGAGAGCTAGTTTGACTAATTCCTGATATCTTAAGTTTTTCCAAGAGCTGAGCCCGATAGTTAATATGTCTAAGTACGAGGCAGTTTTCCAACGGAAAAATCTTAGCAGACTGACATATCTCTATGTATTAGATAGATTATATATACATAATCATACGTAGCTATTTTAAGGTCCTTCAATGCGTTATACTTTTTGGTAATCAAACTATTTTCTGCATATTTCCTGTGCTATTCTTAGACACATGCTAGTTATATCAGTTAATTATTTGATATGATCGTTATGTAACTTACATTACTTCGCGAGTTTGTGCTTCTTGTTCAAGTGAGAGCAGAGGAAATTGGCCGCTGCGAAGACCTTTTCGCAGTTTTTATAGCCGCATGGCAGACCGTCGACGCCGTTGCAGACCGAGAAGTGCTTAACGTACTCCAAGCTGTCGTTATAGGTCACCTTGCAATTGGGGCATGTCAGTTTTGTGGTATGCTTCTTGAGCATATGCGAATCGAGACGTTTGCGTGAGGCAACCACCTTGCTGCACATGCTGCAGCTCAGCTCCGACTCGGAGAGCGCCATCGAGTCTACCTTTGTGCGCTTGTGCGGCTTGACATTGGGATTGATCTCGTCGAGCAGCTCGATATCACTGTCTGGCATCTTCTGCTTGTCGCTCTTCGATTTCTTCAGCGGTTTCAGCTGCACTGGGCTGGCCAGTTCCTCATCGGCGGTGTCCGCTTGTGATGACTCCTCTGCCTGCTGTTTGGCTGCCTTGCGTTTGCCCGACTTCTTTGGCGTGCCATTGATGGATACGATCTGCGATGAGTCCAGCGGATCTACATCATTTGTGAGTTCCTTCTCTTTGCTGTCTACAATTTGTGATGAATCGAGTGTATCTTTATCTTTCTTGGACTTAATTTTCTTCTGTACAGGCTCCAGCGGATTTACTTCATTCGATGATTTGACCTTTTTGCTTGGCGAGTCGATTTCTATGATTTGTGATGATGACTTTGTCGTATCGACATCTTTCTTGGACGTCATTTTGCTGGACATGTCGACGTCAAATGAGTCCAGCAGATCAATATCATTCAGATCCATATTATTCAGCTCCTCTATGATCTCGTTCTCTTGGCTGAGTGTGGGCGCGACCAGTCCGTCGTTGGCCTTTGGTTTGCTCTTGGCTGGCGAGGCCAGCTTCGGCGCAAAGAAATCCTTAAGCACTTGTGATGGCTTCTTGGGTTTTTTGGGCGTGCCTGCGACCTTGTCAACAGTTGAGCTCTCGGACAACTTGTCCACTTTTGATTTGCTCTTGCTCGGTGAGGCTGGCTCTTCAATGGCTTCCTTATGGGTTGCCTCAGTGTTTAACTCGCTTAATTTCTTTGGCTCTTTTAGTGGTGATTGCCTTTTCAACTTGGCCGGCGGCTCCTCTGTTTCATTCAGCTCGACTGCCATCGTTTTGCGTCTGCCTGTAATCTTAGCTGGCGAACTGGCCAGCGGGGTGGCCTCTTCCTTGCTGGGCGGCTGGTTAACCACAATCGAGATGGTTTTGCGTCTACCTTTTATTTTAGCAGGCAACGCAGTGTTGGTGTCGTCCTCGCCGCAGTGCTTCTTCTTGTAGTGGCGATCCATTGTGACTTTGTGCATAAAATGAGAATCGCAGGCATCACATTTGAATGCTTTGGGACGCTCAATGTTATGCACGGTCTTAATGTGCTCCTGTAGAGCTTTGACCGCGCTGAAATCTAGATGGCATATCTCGCACTGGTATGTGGTAGCTTGCACTTGCTCCCCGGCGGGCTTTGGTGTGGACGAGTTGGTGTTATTGATGGCAAAGGTATATTCGGTATTGGAAGGTTTCGGCTTTGGCTTCAGGGCCGTGAGCACTGCCAGCTGTGGGTCTGGTGCTGCACTTTCATCCTTCTCCTCGGTTATGCCGTGTGTCAGCAGATGCGACTTTAAGGAGTTCAGCACTCCAAAGGCTTTGGTACACTTCATGCAGTTGTAGATGCGCGGACGCTTCTGTCCGTGCAATTCTTTCAAGTGTTTCTTCATGGGATTTGGGTAGACGGATGCAAAGTCGCATAGCTTGCACTCGAAGCCGGTTGCTATATTCTTAATTTCTGTCTTCCCGACTGTCGTTACCTCGTCATCTTCCTCATCCTCCTCCTCGGTGTCACTGGCATTGTCAGCGTTGCCACCAAAAAGCTGTATAAAATCTTTGTTCTTTTTGGGCACATCCTTGGCGGGCGTCAACTTGATTGCATTCTGTAGCAAATCTTCTACCTTCTTTGGAGTGGACGGTTGTGCTGATGCCGCAGGTGTGCTAGTTTGTGGCAGACTTGCTTTGAGAGCCTGTTTTCTAGGACTCTGCTGGACGCCCACTGCCGAGCTGTTTAGTTCTTTGAGTCCTTTCTTTGTCGCTGGAGTCTTGTTTGGCGTGCCTTTTTCCTTAGCAGGCGTCATTTTGGGGCTCTCCAGGTCAACAATGGGCGTGCCGTTGGTAGTTGCGGCGCCTTTTGACTTGCGCTCCTTGGCTGCCGGTGAATCAATGTTTGTGACAGGCTTTGTTCGCTTTGCCTCGTCTGTGTCATCTGACTCGGCTTCAACAAGGACTGTTTCAATGTTCTGCTTCTTGCCAGTCTGCGTCAGCTTGGACACCAACTCGATGGCTCTGGCGATGGTGCCGGTTGTGGCATGCAAAGTTGAGGCGCACAGACTGCACAATTTAACAGTTGTTGGGAGCGGTATCTAAATCGTTGGAATTGTTGTTGTGGGTCACATGTAATATGAATGAATTCCAGTTGTAAGACTGTACTTACGGTGCGTTGGGTGACACTTTGTAGAATGTCAACGATTCTGCAGCCGGCAAATTGCTTTCTGTTTGTGTAAATCTGATTGCCATCTTTTGCGACTTGGCAATAGTCGCAAAGGATTAACTCCTTTTTTGTATTGCCGCTCATTTTGTCCTATTTTGAAAACGCTTAAAATCGGAGTAGCACGTTGCTGCTCGAGTAATAATAAATGTGTAGTTGCCTGGTCACACTGTCCAACAACGTTCAGGGCTGCGTAGTCGATACAAATGAACTGTTTGCCTATCGATGCGCATTCCGGCTCCGTACAGCAACTATCGTCTATCGGTGCTCAGCACTTATCGATATTTGTTGCTTAGCTGGTTTTGAATATAACGACAACTATATAAAACTGGCTACACTTTGTTGGCTAATCGAAATAAAGCTGCCCCTGATCTGCGTTTACTTCAAATTAACGCATTTGTTATGCCAGCGCCGCGGGGCAGTCGCAATTGTTGTTACCATTTCAATAAAAAATAAAAACGTGCCAGTAAATGCAGAAGCTTATCTCTGGGCCACTCGTTAAGCCTAATTGTCGCCACATTTAACACATGTCGCGAGAGTCGTTGGACTTTTCGAGGTAGTTCCTCGGTCTCCATTTGCATTTTTAGCATGGAATGCCAGTATCCGATTCCGCTTGACAGTAATTACGTCCGACTGGCTCAAGTTCGCAAAAAAAAAAAAAAAACTTTGATTTTTAATGAAGGTCATATGACAATGCTCATGCCTAATACCCAGCCACAATTTGTTGATTGATTTCTGGCAAGCGAAATCAATAAACAAGTGCGCTCCAAGCACTTTACAGTAGCCATTTGCGCTGTCTCCCCAACATGGCGTATTCGTTATCTCAAGTGTGCGCAGGCAATTCGCAAACTTTGCGCCAAATTGTATTTACCATTAACAATTGGCCATTGAATTGCAATTGCTTTAAGGAATTTTAACTTTTGCAGTTAGTTTCGCCTTCAGTCATTGGGCTTGTACTTAAACCCGTCGGCGCGACTTTGAAGTACAATTTAGAAACGAATTCGTTTCATAAGTGAAAATGTGTTTTCGTTTATGGCTACCTTGGTTACTCCTACGAGAAAGGAGCATCCCAACTCAATTAGCAACTGAGCAATTCTTATTTTATCATTAAATGTTGTTATTTTTTTGTGGCTGTAATTGGGCTTTGAAAACTTGATTCGCTTAGCCCGATCAAAGCCGTCTGACCTCCAGCCCTGGCCAGCTGTGGCTTTTGCCTGCTTCTTCTGCTTCTGCTGCTTCTTCGTTGGCATTGTCTAAAGCAGAATATACTCTAAATAGAAACCGAAATAGAAACCGAAACGGAGTTTCTCTTGCTGAGAAATCTGCCAAGCAGCGGCGACGTCGGCCCAAGGCCAAGCAAATTACAACAGCGGCTGGCGGTCGTCCGGCTCCGGCTGAGGCTTTTGTGCCGTAATTGAGTTCATTATCATAATAACCCATTGACCAACTTGTCAACCTGACAATATAGCTGTAAGCTCAGTCGGGGAAACGCCTCGGGCTGTTGCCGTTGCCAAGAACTCTTGGATTTTATTATTTTTGTAATAATTAAATATTACATTTTTTTTATTTTTTCATATTCACCGAAGCTTATGCATAAAAAATAGTTCCTAAATAAATCTAAAATCCAACTGAAAGGTCAGCTGGGTGAAGCCGAGCAAGTCTTCTGTTCTTTCAAACTTTTTTCAAAAGTTCTCGGGCTTCCATCGAAAGCTTTTGACTTAGTTCCCAGCAAGGGATTAAGCGAGATTGTCAACTGGAATCGATACACGATTTGATTTATTGTTTGGCAGCCAAGTGGCATTAAATGCTGAGTTTACGTAATAAATTTAATTAATACACTTAAGCGTTTACAGAATTAATGGACTGTCGTTAGGCATAAACAACAAAATCGTGTGCACACTTGACCCAAACGCTTTTATGCCCATTTCAAAGGCTACGTCAAGTCGACTCGTGTCGAGTTCTAAACGGAGCTGAGGCTTTATTTTTTCATTGTAATTAAACTTCCACTATATTTTCAGTACTATTTTTGTTATTTTTTTTCGACTTGCCTCAGTTGCGGAAGTTTTTGCCCGAGAGTTGGGCTTAACTCGGAGTTTGGCTAATTGACAGCCATTATGCCTTTACATTTATAAATAGAAGTCTTAATTCGGTGCGGAGAATTATTTTAAAAATAGCCGCATATATTTGATTTCTAAAAATAAGCTAATGGCACATTGTATTAGAAGAAGAAGAAGAAGCAGGCGCATGAGCAATTCAAGATAATGAAATTCAATGTTTGTTTTGCAAATAAATCTGTGCATTAAATTTAATTGAACAACTCGAAACTTGTAATGAAGCAATCGCTGCGAGAATCAATTTAACTGCGATCCCGATCCCCTGAGCTGGATTCTAAGAAAACCTACGGCGATCCGGTTTTATAGACATGCGGAAGTCGTAGACCAAAAACTGTATCAAAATTTACCCTGTAATGTTATTTAATTATCTGGTATTATATGTTAAAGACAAAGCACAACCCACACAAAGCACATTGCGTACTTATGCTCGAACAATCTCACTTCAATAGCAAAAAGTTAAGATCAAGCAACCAGAATAAAAAAAAAATAGCTACACCTGATGCCACCGACAATATCATTAACAACAAAGAGACAATAATATTGTTTAATAAAAATTGCCAGCATCATTTTGCAGCGATTAATAAAGCAACAACAACAAAATAAGCTAGAAATAGAAAAGATCAGCACAAATAGCATTCGATAAATATGCTTGAACCCTATGAGAACTATGTATAAAACGAGAGTGCTACAGAGTATGCCCAACTAGGAGATACCCTGTAGAAAAAGACATTTTCTTATCTTCTCTCTAATTGAGTTGGAGGAAGGGGAGGAAGATAGGAATGGATTCAACTCTTGGTGTGACATTTATTTTCAAAACTTTAATAAAACAATTCAATTTTAAATTTATAGCTGCCCGTTCTACTGAAAATATTGTTATATATAAATATTTTCATATAGAAATAGCGGGCTAAATTTGATATATACCCAAAGTTGGCATTAATCTAACATGTTTTGATAAATCCAATGCTTGGGTCTTAAGATTATTTTTTTTTTATTAGCTTTAAATTCGATTTGGGTTTCAATCAGACTGTTCTATTGTGTACAAAGGGTTTCTTAGTAAAATATAAATTAGTTTCGTGCTCCCACCTTGATGCTTACTCTAGCTCCACTCAATCTTCGCATATGAATTAAGTGACGCTCTCGACAGCTGTCCAAAAGGCTAAAATAGATTTTACATAACAAATGATATAGAGAAGAACAAGATCGCGAACAATTATCGCACAGCTCGTCAAGGGTAAATAAACTATGCTGGATTATGGGCCAGCTTGTCAAGTGCTATTGTTGTGGCATAAATCTTGGCAGTTAATGCTCCATTAGAATTGGAAATGGAGCTGCAGCTTCGCTTGACCACTTCCGGGTCAAGCGCCTGTACGAGCTTTTGGGGCGGGCAGCGCCAAGTGCCAACAGCTTCGGGTCGCGTGTGTGTGCTTGGACCCCATCCGAGTGCCGAGTGCCAAGCTGCGCTAGGTGTTCATTAGCTAATTGCTTTTTTTTTTTTGTGGCTGCGATGCGCAGTGTGCGACAAATAGTTGGCTTGGCTGGAGTCAGCCAGAAATTGTGATTAATGATTATTTGATTTTCGGTATATCTAGGTATTTCGGCAGCAGGCCAGCCAAAGTCCAAATGCGCATTGTCGAATTAGCCTTAATTGTTGACGGTATGCAAAAATTAGAGAACTGAAAATCGAACCCGCAAATGGGGCGTTATGGCTCCGGGCGTATTGCTCATACCTTTGGCGGCACATTCGAGCTGAGGAAAGCGTTAATCTCCGGTTCCGCATTGCTGTCAATCCATAACTAATGAACACTCTGATCCGGTTGATAGAAGCTTAATAGAACGGTGGCGCATGGCCCTCGGCAAGGGCATCTCTCGCCAGGCACGGGCAGCGGCACGGACCACCCAGAATAACGTTTAGCTATACCTCTCATATTAGCTGCAAGCTGAAGATTAATTTACGTTAATCTGGTCCACGATTTGAACAAATTTCTTGCCGGATGAGATTTGGCCGAGTTATGGGTGTGGGAAAATTTGACCCATGTCTATATAGGATATTTGGGTGTACCTTTTTAACATGAATTTCGACCAAAAATTATGTTGTCAGACTTCAATGCCGAATTGATCTAGAGGCCAAACCATGAACAAAAAACCAAACCTCGTTAAAATCGGATGAGATTTGACCGAGTTATGGGTGTGGGAAATTTTGACCCATGTCTATATAGGATTTTTGGGTGTACCTTTTTAACATGAATTTCGACTAAAAATTATGTTGCCAGACTTAAATGCCGAATTGATCTAGAGGCCAAACCATGAACAAAAAACCAAACCTCGTTAAAATCAGATGAGATTTGACCGAGTTATGGGTGTGGGAAATTATGACCTATGTCTATATAGGATTTTTGAGTGTATGATTTTATCATGAATTTCGACCAAAAATTATGTTGCCAGACTTAAATGCCGAATTGATCTAGAGGCCAAACCATGAACAAAAAACCAAACCTCGTTAAAATCAGATGAGATTTGACCGAGTTATGGGTGTGGGAAATTTTGACCCATGTCTATATAGGATTTCTGAGTGTACCATTTTAACATGAATTTCGACCAAAAATTATGTTGCCAGACTTGAATGCCGAATTGATCTAGAGGCCAAACCATGAACAAAAAAACAAACCTCGTTAAAATCGGATGAGATTTGACCGAGTTATGGGTGTGGGAAATTTTGACCCATGTCTATATAGGATTTTTGGGTGTACCTTTTTAACATGAATTTCGACTAAAAATTATGTTGCCAGACTTAAATGCCGAATTGATCTAGAGGCCAAACCATGAACAAAAAACCAAACCTCGTTAAAATCGGATGAGATTTGACCGAGTTATGGGTGTGGGAAATTTTGACCCATGTCTATATAGGATTTTTGGGTGTACCTTTTTAACATGAATTTCGACCAAAAATTATGTTGCCAGACTTAAATGCCGAATTGATCTAGAGGCCAA